TGACCGATGACGTGCTGGTGACGCTCATGTGCGCCTCCCGCTCCACATACCCCTGGGACCTCGTCATCACCAAGCGCGGCGACGTGCTGGTGTTTGACAAGCGCACCAACAGCAGCCTCGACTTCCTCACGGTGAGCCGGGGGTGGGCGGGAGGGTGGAGGCTGGGAGCGGGCGGCCGCGAGGGTGGGAGCGGGCGGCTGCGAGGGTCGCGAGGGTGGGGCAGAGGCCAGCCACTGGGCAGCAGCCGCCGCTGAGGAGCAGCACCCGGCAAGCAGCCTGCCCAACAGTCTGCCGCCGCCTCGGGGCCTGACAGCAGCGTGGCCCGCCTCGCCGCCGCCTCCCCGCGCCGCCTCCCAGCTTCGCGCCCCCCCCCGACCCCGACCCCCGCATTCCTGCCCGCGCCGCCGCCCCTGCCTTGCGCAGAACGGCGAGACGGCGCCCGACCCGCTGCCCGAGGAGAAGGACAACATTAACGGCTTGCAGCAGCTGAGCATGGAGGCGACGTCTGTGAACCAGGCGTTCCGGGAGCAGGTGCTGCTGGGGGAGGGGGAGCGGCAGCCCCTGCAGGAGGCCTGCCCCGCCGACCTGGGCCCTCAGGGCGGCGGCTACAAGTACTGCAAGTGGCAGCTGGGCGGCGCCGCCGTGGTGGTGCGCTGCGCCGTGGACGCCGCCGTGCGGCTGGGCGACTCCACGCAGCTCGTGGCGGTGCACGCGCTCAACGAGTTTGACCCCAAGTGGTCGGGTGAGCTGCTGGGCGGGTCAGGGCAAGGCGTGGGCGGGGTAGGGCGGCGCGGGAGGCGGCAGCTTCCGGCTTCCTTCCTTCTTGCGGGGGCCTGCAAGCGAGCTGGGGTGGCACTGCTCCTGCTGCCAGCACCACGTCACCACCCCGCCCACCCTTTCCGTGCAACCCGCCGCCTCCTCCCTCTGCCCGCAGGCGTGGACTGGCGGCAGAAGCTGGAGAACCAGCGCGGCGCGGTGCTGGCCACGGAACTGAAGAACAACGCCAACAAGATTGCCAAGTGGACGGCGGCGGCGCTGGTCACGTGAGCGCGCACAGCCGCACGTCCGCCCTCGGCGCCCGCGGGGAGCGGGGCGGGTTCCCCTGCCTGCCCGCATGCATGCCTGCCACCCCCTCGTTGCCCCCCGTCACCCGCGAACGCCTCCCCCTCCTCGCTTGCATTGTCATGCCAAGCGCGGTCGCTCCCTCTCTGCTGCCTCCTTGGCCCTGGCCCGCCTCTGGCTCGACCCGCCTCTGGCTCGACCCGCCTCCGGTCCGCCGCGCGCCCACCCACCCCTGCCCCCACCCTCACCCCACCCGCAGCGGCATCGACCAGATCAAGCTGGGCTACGTGACGCGTGCGCTGCCTCGCGACAACCGCAACCATCTCATCCTGGGCACGCAGGCGGTGAAGCCGCGGGACTTTGCCATGCAGGTGCGGGTTGGGGCTGGAAGGAAGAAAAGGCTAAAGAGAGGCGTCTGCCCGCCTGCCTGCCCGCCTGCCTGCTGCTGCCTGCCTGCCTGCTGCCAGCTGCCCACCTGCTGCTGCGTGTTTAGGGCTGGCGCTTGCACGCTGCGCGATGCCTGCTATGCCTGCTGCGCCTGCCTCTGCGCCCTGCGGTCGGCAGTGCGGGCGCCGGCGCGCCCAGGCGCTCCTGAGTGTGGCACCTCAATCCCTCCCGCCCCCTGCCCCTCGCCGCCTGCGTCTCGCCACAGATGAACCTGAACATGGACAACTGTTGGGGCATCATCTCCGGGCTGGTCAACCTGTGCCAGGAGCAGCTGGAGCACGACGGTGAGGCGGGGCAGGCGTGGTGCCGTGGCACCGGCTTGCACAGGAATATTGTACAGGACTATATTGTACCTGCCAGCCCCGCTTGCGCTGCATGCACGCAATGCACCCCAACCACCATGCTGGCGTCCTCCATACACAGCGTGGCAAGGTGGTGCAGAGAGGAAAGCCCAGGCCGTCGGGGGCGCCCTCGCCGCGGCGGCGCGGCTCCCGGTTGCTGCGCCGTCCGGCGCCCCCGGCGGCTACACTCCCTCCCCTTTCCCCCCAGGAATCATCTCCTGGCTCGTCTCCTTTCTGCACGCCTGCCCCCAGCCAACTCTGTGTGCACAACGCTGACAGCGATTTCCTTCCCCCTCCCCTGCCCTGCCCGCTCCCTCTCCCCCTCCGCCCGCCCGTGCTGCGCCCCCAGGCAAGTACCTGCTGGTCCGGGACCCCAACAAGCCGCAGCTGCGCCTCTACGCCATCCCTGCGGAGGAGCTGCACTATGCTGGGGAGGCGGCGGCGGCAGCGGACAAGGAGGCAGAAGACAAGGACGAGGACTGAGCTGCGCTCGCGCCGCCGCAGCAGCAGCCCTGATGCCACATCCCTGTCTCCCGCCCCGTTTCATGCCGGTGTTCAAGTCCTGCGTGCCTGGTTGCCTGGGTGTCAGCATGGACAGCTGTGGCGTGCTCGGCAGGGGCCCGTACTTGGAAAAAAGGAAGAGGGGAGGCGGGCGCGCGGCCGCATACTGAACGGGCACAAACGAGAAATAAGGTGGTGGGGTGGGGGCAAGTGCGAGTGTGGAAAATTGCCTGGTACAGTGGCGTCAGTGCAAGCGGCTGGCTGGATGGCAGCGGTGTGGGGCCTATGAATACAAATAGGGAGTGAACAAGGAGGCGGGACGGGGTCATGCGGAGGGGAGGCTGTGGCAGCTGCGGCTGCTGTTGCTGCCCGCGAGGGGAGGGCCTGGATGGCTCGCCTTCACCCGTCATCTGAGGAGACCAACCCGACGCCCGTCAGCATGACCCCTGCCGCCAGCAGCACGCAGCCAAAGGCGCGGAGCGGCGCGCCGCCGGCGCAGTCGCGCAGCGCCAGCATGCCTGGGAAGATGAAGGCCATGGTGGTGCCCAGGGTGGCCCCCACCAGCCCCACCACCTGCAGAGAAGAGAGGACACGCACAGAGGAGGCACAGCGGAGCGATGGCAGCATGTGTGTGGGACCGTGCGGGAGGAGGAGGAGGAGGCTGGCAGGGCGCAGGGAGCGAGGGTTGACATACAGCAGGGCAGGCGCCAGCCAGGCTTGCAGAGAAAACAAGGACACGGCTCCCTGCATGCTGGCCAGCCTCCAACTCCACCCCATCCCGCCACCCACCCGGTAGGCCGACTGGATGCAGACGGCAAAGACGTAGATGGCCAGCAGGGAGAGGTAGGTGAGCAGGTAGTAGGCGGTGGGGGTCAGCTGGGTGGTGCCAAAGTAGTCGGCCAGCATCTCTGAGCACAGGGAGGCACAGAGGGCGGGCTTGAGGGATGATTGTGTGGGTGTGGGGGTGTGGGGTGGAGGGCGGCGCATGTGGCCCCGCTAGGCGCTAGCGCCTCCCCGTGTGGTGGTGGTGGCAAGTGGGAGGGACCAGGCGCCCCAGGGTAGGCCTGGTGGCATGGCCGCGTCATCCAGCACAACTGAGGCTGTCCCTGCCAACCCCTGCCTGCCCGCGCACCTATGATGTCCTGCCGCATGGGCCAGATTGTGATTGGAAAGGAGAGCACCATGGAGACAGCCATGGCCACCTGCAGCACACACACACACACACACACACGCGCGCGCGTGCGCGCAGCACTCGTCGGCATGGGCATGCGGTACAGGCAGGCTTAGCGGGTGGGAGCCGCCGTCCCGCTGCCGGCCTGCCTGCCAGCGGGCACCCTGCATCCACCCTCCACCACACGCACCACACACCGGACCACCCACACACCCACACCACACACACACACACACACACACGCACGCACGAGCCGCACGCGCTGCCCACCTTGACTGTTGCCACAAAGCCCATGGCCAGCGCCACGTCGCCCCACAGCGCGTCGGCCACAAAGTCGATGCTCAGGTTGGACAGCACGTCGCCCTTGACCCCGCCCCCAAACACCATCAGCCCGGCGGCGCCGGTGAGGGCGTACACGGCGCCGGAGATGGCGATGGACCAGGCGACTGACTGAGCAGAGGAGCAGGAGGTTGGGGAGGAGGTGGGGCGGGTGAGGCAGGCATGCAAGCATCGGCACGGGCGGCAGCAGCAGCGGCATCAGCAGGGCACCCCGCCTGCGCTCCCTGCCAGCGGTTTCGGGGCAAGGCAGGGCTGGCGACGACGGTTTCAATCGGCGCTGCTTGCAGGGGCCAGGCAGAGAGGCATGCCTATTCAGGTTGCTCCCTACCGTGCGCATGCGGCGCGGGGTGTAACTGTGCAAGTCCTGAACGCAAGGGTGGATGCTCATGTGGCACACAAACCTGCAGGCAGGCAGGCAGGCAGGCAGGCACGGCCAGGCAGGCAAGGCGGACTGTATAGGAACATGCAGGAGATGAGGATGCCCCGGCACGAGCAGTGCTTAAGCAAACTAGCCGGTCCCGGCCAGCAGGCCGGGGCCCCTGTGCACACAGCTGGCCCCATCCCAGCAAACCACAAACGAGCAGCAGCCCAGCCAGGCTGTGCCGCCGAGAACAGAGCCCCGCAGCCCTTCTCACGCCGTCATGATGACGGGAATGGTGGCCAGCACGTTTTTGAGCCGCTCCCAGGAGCCGTCCCCAAAGAAGGCGGGGTCGGGCAGCCAGCGCACCTGCGGCAGGTGGCCTGCAGACGCAGCACGGCGCGGCGCAAGCCGCAGGTGAGCCCCGGCCCAGACACTGTCCTCACTCGGCACCGGCAGGATCAGCAGCAGCTGATCCTGTAGATGGTAGCCCCGCAGACTGAGGAGGGAGCCCAGCCCTTCCCGCCCCGCTGCCGATAACCCACCCTGTATCGCCAGCGCCACACACAGCACCACCAGAGCCACCACACACATCAAGGTGCAGCAGATCTTCATGACGCTGATGGGAGCCACATCCCCTAGCGTCTTGGGCCCTGCGGGAAAGCAGCACATAGCAGACAGGGTGGGCAGTTGGCAGTTGGCAGCAGGGGTGGCAGGGGTGGCGGTGAGGTGAGCAGCCCCAGCCAGGCACGTCGCTGAGACCAGCTGTATGGGGTCTACCAACCCAGCAGCACCCGGCAGGCAGCAGCAAGATAGGACAGGCGAGGGGCGTGGCTTACGGCCCTGCCCCGTGCGCTGGGCCCACTCACACAAGGAGGGGGCCACTATGAGGGTCACCCATGTGAGCATGGCGGTACGCTGCAGGTACCAGGGCAGCGGGTCGGGCAGCTGCGGCCAGAGGTCGGGGATGATGCCGCTGTACTGCTCCGTGCCTGCGGTACAGCAGTGCAGCGGCAGGAGTGGAGGAGTGGGGCCAGCCGCGCAGGTCGCACATGCAGGCAGCGCCAGCCATGGCGCCCGCAGCAGCAGCAGACTAATGCAGCTGCATGCTGGCACCGAGCAGGCTTGCAATAGCCGTTGCGGCGCCCGCCATCCACCACCCCACTCCCACTCTTGCGCAGATGCCCCACCACCTCACCCACGAGCAGGTCTGCCAGTACGATGAGGTACAGGACGAGGAAGCCGGCGCTGCCGACGATGATGGAGAAGCGCACGGCGGCGCCCGCCCACCGCCCCCACTCATGCTCCATCACCGCGCAGTAGGTCAGCTTGCCGGTGCGCTCTGTAGGCCTGCGCGCACACACGCGGGCGGGCAAGGCAACGGCAGGGGCCTCAGAGCAGAGGGCTGGAAGGTGGCATCGGAAAAATGAAGGAGGAGGGCGGGGTGGCGGCCACGAGCAATTGCAAGCGGGGTACAGAGAGCGCCGGGCGTCGGCAATGAAGCAGGACCCAGGTGGCATCATGAGCCCCATCAGGCTCCCCAGCTCCCACACATGCGCACCGCCGCAGCACCACACACACACAGCCACCCCCCCGCCCACCTCAGCATCAGCACGATGCTGGCATGCGTCATGACGCCCACGGCGGCGATCAGCGCCACGCCGCCCGCCACGCCCAGCCCGGCAAAGGCGTGCGGCAGCGCCAGCAGGCCGGCCCCCAGGATGGAGTTGGTCAGGTTCATTGTCGTATCCCACAGCGAGCTCTGCGGGAACTGCGTGGCGGGCTCCTCAAACACCTCCTGCACGGCGGCCCACACGGCGGAGGACGCGAGCGAGGGGTTGGGCTGCAGCGCCGCCGCCGCCTCGAGGTCATCCAGGCTGGCCGGCCCCCACGCCTGCCGCGCCTGGGCCGTGTCGTCCACGCCGCGCAGCAGCGGCTGCGACAGCCTGCAAGGCGGCAGCGGGGAGGGGAGGGGGTGCCCAGCCCGCTTCTGCTGCGTGCGGCGGCGGCGGCGGCGGCAAGGGCGGCGCCGCGTTCCAACCTAGGGCCTGGCCAGCACGTGCTCCCAGGAGCGGCCACGCAGCTCACCCTTGCTTCTCCATTACGTGTGGGCTGGGCCGCTATGGCTGCCCCTGGCAGCGCCGACACGGGCAAGGAACTTTAATTAGGGTGCAGTGTCGAAACCATTGAAGCTGCGGGCCCTGGCTAGCTGAGCAACAGGACGTCACCAAGATGCATGCATGTGCGAAAGCAGCTCTCGGAGGCTGCCTCATCCTGCATCGCAGACACGTCAGGGCAGGTGGCCTCTTCAGTAGCCCTGAACCTTGCACGCGCTCCCCAATTGGACGATCGCTCCTTGGCACATTGCCCCACCCCGCCCATCTCGATCAGCAATGAGCCTGGCCCCCACGGAGTCTGCCCTACGAGAGTGCTGTTCATGCCGCAGCTTTGCAGAGGCGGTGGCGGGGCAGGGGCCCTATGGCAGCGTGGATGAGCTGATTGCCGCAGCCCGCACGGTCTGGTGGCACCAGGCGAGAGCGGCGGCGGCGGGGCGGCGACAGCGCAAGTTTGTCGGGGCGGGGCGTTCCAGCGGGCAGGAGGCTGAGCTTCTGTCAGCAGCAAGTCAGACCGACCGAAATGCCCATGCTGAGATGATTGCTCTGCTGAAAACTTCCCCCATCCCCAACCCTGACGCCCATCCGCTTCCCCGCCCCCGCCTCCCCGGCAGACGCCCGTGGCGGGCTGGCTGGAGGCCTTCGCTGCCCACCCCAAGATCGGGGACATGGAGGGCCTGCGCAAGAAGTACGGCGCCTTTGGCGACATGAGCAAGGGGGAGCAGGCGGCGGCGGCGGGGGCCTCGGATGCGGCGCTGCAGGTGGGCTGGACCGGCAGGCGCAACAAAGGGGCATCAGCGGGGCCTCCCCATATTTCTACGGGCTAACTCTGTTGGGCTGCAGCCACTCAAGAACAAATCCTACAACGTGCCTGATGCTCCAACCCAACCAAAACTGCGTGCAGGCGCTGGCGGAGTGGAATGGGCGGTACGAGGCCAAGTTCGGCCACATCTTCATCATCTGCGCCACCGGGAAGAGCGCCGAGGAGATGCTGGCAGCCATCCAGCAGCGGTGGGCTGCCGCTGCTGCCCGCCTGGCTGTGGCTGCTGGAGGGTGGAAAGTAGACTGTGGGGCCCAAAGCCTGTCGAATTCGGTTGCGGGTTACGGGGTGGGTTTCCGTGTGTTTGGGGCGCTTAAGAGCACCGAGGGATGTGGGGGTCCCAGGGGTGGTGGTTAAGCGCCACGCAAGGGGCACACAGCAGCGCAGGGCAGGCGGGTGTAACAAGCAGGGCAAGGCGACGGCATTTGCGCGCAGCCAGGGCGGCTGCCCGCCCAGCCACGACCAGGGCTGGGCAGGCGAGCCGCCGGCGCGGTGGGGCCAAGGCAGGGCAAGCGGCGACAAGGGTGGCACATACTGGCAGGGCGGGGTTAGGCACTGGCAGGGCAAGTAGTAGGGGGCACGGGGGCTGAGCGGGGCCGCCCGCGATACCCACCCCGCGCACAACCGCTTCACCGGATGTTGACGCTGCGCAGCAGGCTGCCGGCGGCCGCGCCCGGCTTGGCGCCGCCCTTGGGGGCGGCGCCTGCGGGCTCGCCGAAGCAGCGCCAGAAGCGCAGCGTCTCGTCCGCGGCGGCGCTGACTACGGTGGTGCCGTCGGGGCTCTGGGCCAGGTGCAGCACCCGGGAGGTGTGGCCCGTGAGCTCCGCCACCTTTGCCATGGAGGGGTACTTCCACAGGCAAAGCTGGTTCTGGCTGCGGGGGCGGGGCAGGGGGGCGAGGGCAGGAACACAGGGGGTGAGAGAAGGGGGCAGGCGGGCAGGGGGTGAGGTGGCAGCAAGCTGGCGCAGCGTGCAAGAATGCGCTGCTGCCGCCCTGCCTGCCGCGCGCGCCCACCTGAAACCGTGGGAGGAGAGCAGCTCGCGCTCGTGGCGGTTCCACTGGAGCGAGCAGACCTGGCTGCCAGTGTCTATGGAGTTGAGGAGGGCCCCTGCAGGCAGGCAGGCAGGCGGCATGCAGGGGCGCCTCGTCAGCAATGGGATGTTGGCGGCGCTGCCAGCACAGTGATCCCCAGCCAGCTGCAGCTGGGAGGCTGCTCATCCACTGGCCTGCCTGCCTGCCCGCCCACCTGTGTGCGTGTTGTGGAACTTGATGGTGCGGTCCGCAGTGCCGCCGCCGGTGGCCAGCAGGTTGCTCTGGAAGGGGCACCAGGCCAGCGCCTTGACGGCGGCCTGGTGCGCGGTGATGCGGTGCGTGGCGCGGTCGGCCGCCGCATCCCAGATCATCAGCAGGTTGTCGTTGCCGCCGCTGGCCAGCTGCGGCGGGGCGGGAGGCAAGAGGGCAGGCGAGGGGGAGGGAGAGCAAGCACTGGTCGGGGCGGGAAGGGGGCAGGCGCTGGTGCGGGCTGCTGCGGCGCGGTGCATGCTCTCATCATGAATACACAGCTTGCGCAGCGCCCTGGCCAGCACAGGCCAGCACCCCGCCCCCTCCGCCGCCAGCGCCCCACCTGCGTGCCGTTGGGCGACCACTTGAGGCCGCACACCTCCTGCTCGTGGCCGCGCAGCGTGGCGGTGACGTGCTCGCGCACGCGCACGTCGTGGTGCAGGATGAGCGAGTCGCGGCCGCCGGTGGACAGGGTGTGGTTGTTCCAGGACAGGGAGGACACGCGGGCGGCGTGGCCGCCCAGGTTGCGCACCGGCTTGCAGCGCTCCGCGTCCCAGATCTGGGTGAGGGCGGAGGAGTAGCCGACGGCCAGGTGCTTGCCGTCGGCGGCCCAGGACAGGGAGGTGATGTAGTCCTCGCCCTGCGCACTCAGCAGCTCCTGGATGTCGCCGGAGGAGGCGTTCCACAGGTAGACGGCCTGGTTGAGGGCCACGGCCACCTGCAGGGGTGGGGGAGCGGAGAGGGGAGGGCAGGGAAGCGTGAGGAAGGGGTGGGGAGGGGGCGGTTTTGGTGGGGAGGAGGCGCTGACGGGAGGCGGTTGCGCCCCGAGCGGCCGCCCCGGCCGCCCTGCCAGCCAGCCAGGCTGCTGCCACCTTGGCTGGCCGAACGCTGGCCGCTCGCCGCCTGTGCCGAAGCACAGGCAGCCGTGGTCCTGGCAGCGCCGCCCGCCCCGGCGGCGTCAGCTCACCGCGTTGGTGGAGCTCCAGTCCAGCAGGTTGAGGTAGTAGTCGTCAACGAGGTCTGGGGCGTCCAGGATGCGGTCTGGCTGCTGGGGCACGGCGCGGAAGGCCTTCTTGGGGCGGGGCCCCGCGTTGGCCGAGTAGAGTGCCGCCATGTGGTTCTCAAAGCCCTCGGCCGGCGCGGGCGCCTTCTGCTTGAAGGCCAGGATGCGAGCGGAGTCGTCCTGGCCCAGGTTGGCCGCCAGCTGCTTCTTGTACTCCAGCTGCGGAGGGGGAGGGCGGCGCAGGCGGGCGGGTCAGGGCGCCATCAAATGTGACTGTTGATGGCAGGGGTGATGGTGCCTGATGGCGCTGGTCAACAGCTAGCTAGCGCCCAGGGTGCAGGCGGCCTGCGATTCTGGGGCGCTGCGCCGGCTGGTGGTGCTGCTGGGCTGGGGTCCAGGCCCAGGGCCGCCGCCGGCAGCAGCACCCACCTTGGTGGGCGACAGGGCGTCCAGGTTCTCAACGTCCTTGGCCTCGCGGCTGACGTTGTAGTTGGCAACATCTAGGTTGCTGGCACTGCGGTTGGGGATGAAGCGGTCCATCTGCAGGGCAGGAGGTGAACGTTGGCGGCCGCATCCCCATGCGATCTCCCCCGCCCAACCCGGCCCAACGGTCAGCCCGCCCCTCCCGCCCCTTGCCCGCATTCTTGGAGTGCGCCGCAAACTTCAGGGGCGTCTCCTTCTTGCCCGGGCTCACGCGGGCGGGGGAGGCAACGAAGGCGGTGGAGGCCATCGTGCTATCTATGGTGTTGTGCGTTCGCTACGGGAGCGAGGATGCTAGGGGGGTGGGGGTCTCTTGCAAATGAATTGCAGGGAGGGCCGTGGGCGACAGACGACGGGCATTTGTAGGTCGCCGCCACACAGCGCGGCACAGCCGTGCCGTTGTCATCTGCCCTGGGTTCTTAGGCCCTCCTTGGCCAATTGGGGGGCCCTCTCGGCCGCCCCCCAATGGCTTCTGCACATTTTCAGACCATCGTGTGTAAATTTCCCTGGCCAGGAACCATTGCCGGCTCGTGCTTCACAGCATCACCCGCCCAACCCTCCACCCACATGCACCCGCCGCCTGCCCCCAATCCCCCTCCCTGCTCTGCAGGTATGGCAACGCGCCCGCCACCGAGCTGACCAACGCGGCGGTGGAGCAGCAGAAGATCACGGAGCTGCGCATACGCAAGAGCTTTGGCAACGGCGAGGCGGGCGCCGCCGCCGCCGACCCCGCCGACCGCCGCGCAGGTCGGCTGCTGGCGCAGCTGGCGCCGCGCGCAGGTCTGCCCACCGCCCGGCCCGGCGGCCTGCCAGGGCGCGGCGCGGGGCACGCTTGCAGTGCCTGCAGCGCTACCCGCTGCACCTGCCCAGCTGGCAGACCCTACGCCACTGGCATTCCGCTGCCTCCACGCCGCCCCCCAACCCCCGCCGCCGCCGCCGCCGCCTCCCCTGCCCGCCCCACGCCCTGCCGCAGCCGATGCGCCGCCGCTGCGCTCCCCCATCACCACCCACGTCCTGGACACGTGCATCGGCCGGCCCGCGCCAGGCGTGGGCGTGGTGCTGGCGCGGCGCGCCCCCGGCTCCGCCGCCGCCTGGGAGCGCGTGGCCAGTGGGCAGACCAACAAGGACGGCCGTATCGGCGACCTGCTGCCGCCGGGTGACCACGTGGAGCCAGGGCACTACCGCATCACCTTTGACACGGCAGAGTACATGGGGCGGTGCCAGCAGGAGCACCCCGCCTTCTTCCTGCCCACCCGCCGCTTCTACCCCTCGGTGTCGGTGGAATTTGAGATCCAGGCGCACCAGGTGGGCCCCTGGGGGGCGGGTGGAGCTGCGGGGCTGTAAGCGGCAGCAGGATGTGCGGCTATGGATGTGCGGCTGTTGCAGGGAGCGGGGCGCGCGCCGTCAGCGCAAGCTGACGCTGCTAGGCTTAACCCTGCTCCCGCTGCCCCCCCGCGACCGTGCCGCCACCGCGCGACCGCGCCGTGCAGGCGCGGGAGCACTTCCATGTGCCGCTGACCTGGAATCCCTTTGGCTACAGCACCTACCGCGGCAGCTGAGGTGGCGGCGCAGGGCAGCAGCGTGAACCGCCGCGGCTGGGGCGGCACGCCAAGGCTGTTGCAACGTGACCGAGCCGCTGGCACGCATTGCTGCGACCCGCCTGCTGCCGCCGTCACAGGCGCACAAGTGAGGTTGCAAGCTAAGTTATGAATCAATCATGATGCTGGTGCAAGTGCTGAGGGCGCAGTGCGTTTGGAATGCTGGGAGGTGAAGTGTGAACCACGCGCAGCTCAGTGTAGTAAGAAAGTCGGTATTGGGTCATGGGTCGCACACCGCCGCCGGCTGCTGGGCTCAAGCAAACCGGTCCTGGGCGCCGCCGCCACGCCCGCTCCCGCACGGCGTCTGTTGCCAGCGGGCAGCGCCGTTTCCCTTCGTCAGCCAACGCACGCGGCAATGGCCTCCCTCACTGCTATCGCCCAGTCCATGCACTCCTCGATGCCACCCGCCTTGAGCGTCATCGTGCGCTGCCGCGCGGCAAACAGCGCAAAGCTGGCCAGGCCGCCGCCGCCGGACTCGATGATGCGGAACACGGGGGCCTCGCCTGCGTGGTGGCGGAGCGCACAGGCACACACAGGGCCAGCGGGAGCAGGTGGCGGGCGTGCGCGGATAAGTGGTGGGTGGAGAGCGGCGAGCGAGGTCCCAGGCATGGCCCCTTTAGCAGGCTGCCTTCAGGGGCCCGCCCCATGCAAGGCCGCGTTCCATGCCGCCCCCGCTGCCACTTCAACCCACGCCCACCTTGCTCAAAGGAGCAACGGGAGAGGTTCAAGCTCTCCACTGGCGGCGCCCAGCTCTTGGCGCCGCCCCAGGACACCTGGCCCGGGCTGCCGCCGCGCGAGGCGCCGTTGGCGCCGCCGCTGCTGCTGCCGGCGCCGCCGTTGGCGCCGCTGGTGCCGCCGGCTGCCTTGGCGGCCGCAGAGTCTGGCGCGAAGCAGTGCAGGAAGCCGGCCTGGGTGAGCACCAGGTGGCCGCGCTGCCAGCAGCTCACGCTGCTGTCCCACCGCTCCATGGCACCCTGCCTGCGGGCGGTGCAGCGGTGTTATTCATCAAGCATGCTCCCATTGGGAGCAGCAAGCTGCATGCACCCACCCGCCCCCAGCATGCAGAGGCACATGCGGGCGGGGCAACGCTCCCGCCCCGCCAAGCCATGTGTGCCGGCTGGCTGGCTGGCTATCTGCCTGACCCCTCACCAACAGCACCTCGCCACCCCGGCTCACCGCACAATCTCGGCGCTGCCCAGCAGCTCGGAGCAGATCTGGTCCACAGTCTCTCGCTGCCGCACCGACAGCGCCTCGGCACTGCAGGCGGCCAAGGGGGGGACCAGGAGCCAGCAGTCGATGCCGAGGAGCGGTGCCAAGGCGCACGGCTGTTTCCAGCGGCGCGCCTGCCTGCCCACGTGCGTGCAGGCCTGGGCAGCAGCCGCTGGGCTCTGGGCTGCTGCACAGGCACGGGTGGACACTCCTGGCCAGCAGCAGCAGGCTGGCTGGGCTGGCTGGGGCCCGGGGCCCGCCGCACTCGCCTGTGCACGCTGCTGGCGGCGGTCTCTGTGAAGGCCTCGAGGTCGGCCTCCGCATCCACCTCACCCAGCAGTGCCTGCAGCTGCCCCGCGATGCCCTGAACGGGCACCACCTCGGCGCGGTAGATGCCCACAAAGCTGCTCAGAGTCTTCTGCACCGCGCCCGCACGCCGCCGCTCCAGCTCGCCCACCCGCTGCAGCGAGGGGAATGGGGTGGCGGCACTTCGGCGCGCCGCGCCATGCGGCTGCAAGCGGTTCCAAGCCGGGGCGGTGCATGGGACTCCAAACCAGGCCGCCTACCCACCGCCACCACTCGCCACCACACACGCACGCACCCCGCTCCACACACACACATGCGCACCTGGAAGGACTTGCCCAAGTATTGCCGCTCCACATGCTGCGCCCGCTGCAGCCGCACCTGCTGCTCCACCAGGCACCCCTCTGCGCCGCAGCGAGCAGACATCAAGCAGGCGGCATACGTCAGGCACGACTGCGAAAGCAGGGCGGTGCCGATATTGGCGGCCCCTGTGGGCCTGCCGCTCCTGCCGCCCACATTGGCCACGCACGCTTGCTGCCGTGCGCCCCAGCGTCCCCACCTGTGAGCCAGGGGTCGCTCTCCACCCCCCGGCCCCGCCCGCCAGGCCGCTGCCGCTGCGCCGCCGCCTGCTCAAAGGCCTGGCACGCGTCCTGGTGGCTCCTGCAGAAGCCGGGCAGCCGCCGGGCAGCCGCCACGCGGCTCAGGGCGCTGCCCTTCTCCCATCCCCTTGCTGCCAGGAGCATCCCAGCTCCATCAGCCAATCACTCATGCGCGTGCCCCCACCCAGGTGCACACCTGAGCGCCGCCTTGAGCCCCTGCCTGCTGCCGTCCACCTCCCGCTTGGCGCGGCTGGCGCCGCTGCCCACCTCCTCGCATGCCGCCCGCAGGTCGTTGACCAGGGCCTGTAGGCTGCGGATGGCCTCGTGCAGCCGCTCCGACATCTGCAGCAGCCCGCAGCAGCCCGCAGGAGGCGTAGTGAGCAGCGGGGCCCCACGCCAGCCGCGAGGCAAAACGGCCATGCTGACGTGGCGCCTGCAGGGCCACGGCATGCTGCTGCTCCTGTGCAGCACGCCAGCCATAACCAGCCGCCACTGCTGCGCGCATCAGGGGGCCGCAGCCAGGCTGTAGACAGCAGCTCCCCAGGCTGCCGCTGCTCCAAACCGTCAACAGCTGGCACGACTCGGTAAAGCCCAACCACTCACGCTGCTGTGGCACGCGCTCAGCATGCCGGGCAGGTCTGAGAACTGCTCCAGGGCGGCCCGCAGGGAGGGCCCATCAGCATCGCTGCACAGGCTCAGCTTGGCGACCGAGGCCATGGCTCGAGCATAGGCGGCCTCCGCGGCGGCGCACGCCTGCGGGCGGGGAGCAGCGCGTGGGGTGCACTGCGGCGGGGAGCAGCAGGTAGCGGCCTGCTGCGCCAAAACGCCTCTGCAGCCGCAGTGCCACCAGTGCCAGAAGCAGCTGGCAGCGGCAACGGCAGCAGCGGGGCACCAGGCGCAACACCTGCATGACCCCCAGGGCGCGCTCCGCCGCGCTGCGCCCGCTCTGCAGGCGGCCCAGCATGACCGACGCCATCTGCTGGTTGATGCGGCTCTCCTGCTCGGCATCCCGATCCAGCTGGTCCACCACCGCGGTCAGGCTGTCCAGCTCTGGCGCGCTCTGCAGCGGCTGCAGGGAGCCGCCGCCGCCGCCGCCGCCGGGGCCCCTGCCCGCGGCGCCGCCGCCTGCGCCCGAGCCTGCGACGTCGGGCGAGGAGGACAGCGCTCGGCGGGCTGCGCGGGCAAGCTCCGGGTTCCGTGCGATGTCCTTCATGTAACTGAACTTCTCTGGCGTGTTTTTGGCGGACGCTGACGAGGCGAGGCTGCGCTGCGCGGCTCGCTCCAGCAGCCGCGAGGTGGGGCTGTCTGGGTCGGCCACCAGCCTGCAGGGAAGGGGGTGGAGATGCCAGCAGGGGGCCAGCTTCAGCCGCTTGAGGCAGGGGTCGGCTGGGGCTGCGCCGGCGAGGTGCGGCAGGCACGGCAGGCGGCGGTGGCAGTGGCGGCACCTGCGGGGACCATCGCTGTAGTCGCTGCCCAGCGGGCTCAGTGCTTCGCTGCCGCCGCTGCCTGGCTTGGGCCCAGTGCGCAGCTCCGACAGCCGCTGCGCACTGCCGGAAATGGGCAAAGGCGGGGACGTCTGCAGGGGGTGAGTCCCTGTGCCTGCAAGGGCGCGGTGGAGAAATGGCGGCGATCAGATGCGGCAGAGAGGGCTGTGGGACGCACGCCGACTCAAGTCGAGAGGTGAAACAGCGCACCTCCGCCCTGGTAAGCTTGCAAGGGATCCATCCGACGCCACTCGCGCCTGGCGCATAGGATAATACGGGCAGTCAGGGCTTTGCTGTGGTAGCCAGCAGGGCAAAGCAGGCACAGCAGCGGGAAACGGAAGGAGTGCTCCTGCTCAAAAGGGTTCCTGAACGTCCTTGGGTTGCGAAGTCGGTGGGCTGACGCAAAGCAAGCAACAGCGAGGTGAGCCTTGGACTCTGACCCAGCTGCTCCTGGAGGCCTGCACACGTGCTGCCACAACCTTGTGAGCCCAGGGCAGCAGGCAGGGGCCCAGGGTTGGGCAGGGCACTGGGCTGCGGGGGTCGGCTGCGGACTTATCTAGTCGCCCAGGGCTGCTTGCTTCCCTGAGCAGTGTTTGTGACCGTTGTGGGCTGCTGGATAGAAGCAGATGTGGAGCGGCCGTTCTGACGCCTCGGCCGGGGAGGCGGCGGCCACGGCAGGCGAGGATGAAGCAGCAGCAGCGCCAGCAGGCTGGCCCTACCCAACCTCAGGAGCCGCAGGCGGCCCGCGCTCAGCCAACATTCAGCCAGCACCGCAGCAGCAGCGGCAGCAGCCTCCTCTGCCGCTGGCTCAGCGCAGCAGCAGGGACCCGCGGCTGCAGGCGGGAAGGGCTGTGGCTGCTGGCGATGCTGTGGCTGCTGGCGCCGCCACAGCATCGCCAGGCTCAGCGGTCCCTGCTGCCACTGCTGCAACAGCGCAGCCCAGCCCAGCTATAGCAGCTGCTGGAGGCAGTGCTTCGGCAGCAGCAGGCAGCTGGCTGGGGATGTCTGACAAGCAGCCGGCCGAGCCGCAGCAAGGAGAGGCAGCCCGGGACAGCCAGCAGGAGGAGGGCACAGAGGGAGACCTGCAGCAGCACCACCACTGGTGGCAGGAATTGGCGCAGGCACCCCACCACCCGTGCTTTGCTGTGCCATGCATGCGGAGAATATGCACGCACACACAAGGGGCACCTGCCAGACAGGCGCGTGTTGGAGCGCCGGGAGCGGAACCGCCAAGCGGTGCCACCAGAGCAGCGGCGGTGCCGGCAGTGCGGCTCGGCCAGCCCTGCCCCCAGGTCGTATGCTTATCCGGCCTGGTGCCGGCACCCGGCCACTGGCGAGGAGTGGCTATGCAAGCCCTGCCAACACAAGGCCTACAAGCAGCTCAACCGCCAGCGGCGGCAAGGGACAGGAAGTGGCGACCCCTCTGGGAGCAGCAGCGATAGCGAGGAGGGAGAGCAGGAGCAGGCGGCCAGCAGGCCCTCGCATCCAGTGGGCGGCGCCGCTGCAGAGGACGGCACCAGCACGCCTGTTGGGGGCCCGGCTGCCGCCGCCAGGCTGCGCACTGCAGCCAGGCAGCCCTGCTACCAGGAGGAGGATGGTGAGGTGGATGACGGGGAGGAGGAGGGGGAGGAGGAGGGGGGCGCCCAGCAGCCAGCCGCCAAGCGCCGGCGGCAGCAGCAGGCAGCTGCGCCAAGGGCAGCAGCCCCGGCTCCCCCTCCCATTCTGCCTGCCCCTGCCGCCAACCCAGCTGGAGCACAAGCTTCAGCCCCTCAGCCCCACCGCCGCAAGCAGCCGCGGCCTCGGCAGGAGAGGGCTTCATCACAGCACCCACGGCGGCAGTCACCATAGCCACCATCTCGTCAGCGCCCCGCCATGCCCCAGCAAACACCAGTCCAAGCACCCCCGCACCAGCAGCCTCCAGCCCTGCGCCAACAGCCCGCCAACCACCACCAGCAGCCTTCCTGCGCACCCCAGCAGCCCCCAGCCCCTGCCCAGCAGCCCCAGCAGGACCTGTATGATCTGCTGCTGGATGCATCGGAGCAGGCTGCCGCCGCTGCTGCCGAGCTGACCCCAGAGCTGGCAGCATCCTTCATCGGCCTGCCCTGGCCGCCACCCGAGAAGGTGTGTGTGTCGCTTGCCCAGCCCACAGTGCAGCATTGTCCCAGACCTGGTGTGCCACGCCTTCGCTCGCTGTCATGTGCGGCCGCTTGCAGGAGAGGAGCCTGCGCCGCTTTCTGGAGCGCCGGCAGTACGGTGCGGCGGCAGCGCTTGTTCACGCCGCTGTGCACGTGGCTGGTGCGGCGCTGCATGGCAGCAGGCAGCTGACCTGACCAGAGTGGCAGGACCGCCTGTCGGGGGAGGTGTCATCATCCCCGCTGTGCACCCGCACCACCAGTTGGGCGGTTGGCTTCCCAGGCGGTGCTAGAGGCGCCAGCCCTGCCACCTGTGGACATCAAGCATCAGTCGCAGCACCAGCATGCAGCACCAGCCGCGCAGGGCGGGGCCAACATCAAGACATGCACTTCAAGAGCCCCTTCTCGCTTCCTGTTGGGCGCTTCCCCTTCTGTACAGCTGTACCGCCGCCAGCTTTCCAGCCCCGCACAGGGCCTCCCTGAGCCTCTTATCTCTCCTGGTAGCGCCTTGCTGTGTCTGTACATTGGCTTGTTTGGTTTTTCTGTGGCTCAGTTGGCGGGCAACAGCGAGGTGGGCTCGGATCTGCCACGGCTGCTCCTGGAGGCCTGCTCCTGGGTGTGCTGCTGGCACCACAACCTTGTGAGCCCAGGGCAACAGCCAGGGGACCAGGGTTCACCAGGGCACTGAGCCCGTGGGTCGGCTGATGACCTCCCTAGTCGCCAGGGCTGCCTTCATTCTCTTTGAGTGTGTGCGAGCTTGGGGGCTGCAGGAGAAAAGCAGATGAGGAGCGGCCGTGCTGATGCTGCTACCGGTGAGGAGGCGGCCACGGCGGGCGAGCCGTCGACTGTGCTAGCGGTGGCAGGCCTGCCAGGCGCAAACCCAGGAGCTGCAGGCGGCCACCTCTCAGCCAACGGCAAGCCAGCACCGCAGCAGCGGCAGCAGCAGCAGCTTCTGCCGCTGGCTCAACGCAGCAGCAGGGACCCACGCCTGCAGGCGGGAAGGGCTGTGGCTGCTGGCGCCGCCACAGCATCACCAGGCTCAGCGGTCCCTGCTGCCACTGCTGCAACAGCGCAGCCCAGCCCAGCTATAGCAGCTGCTGGAGGCAGTGCTTCGGCAGCAGCAGGCAGCTGGCTGGGGATGTCTGACAAGCAGCCGGCCGAGCCGCAGCAAGGAGAGGCAGCCCGGGACAGCCAGCAGGAGGAGGGCACAGAGGGAGACCCGCAGCAGCAGCGCCAGTGCTCGCACTGCGGCAGCACTGCCACTGGTGGCAACCGGTGGTACAGGCACCCAACCATACGCGCTCTGCTGTGCAATGCGTGCTGGAAATATGCACGCAGGAAAGCGGGGCAGCTGCCAGCCAGGCGCTTATTGGAGCGCCGGGAGCGGGACCGCCACGTGCTGCCGCCAGCTCAGCGGCGGTGCCTGCACTGCGAGTCGACCCGCCCCGGCCCCAGCTCGTATGCTCCCGGCCACTGGCGAGGAGTGGCTGTGCCAGCTCTGCTACATAAAAGCCTACAAGCAGCTCAAGCGCCAGCGGCGGCAGGGGGCAGCACGTGGCGACCCCTCTGGGAGCAGCAGCGACAGCGAGGAGGGAGAGCAGGAGCAGGCAGCCGGCAGGCCCTCGCATCAACCTCGGCAGCTGCCAGTGGGCGGCGCTGCCTCAGAGGAGGGCGCCAGCACCCCTGTTGGGGGGCCAGCTGCCACCGCCAGGCAGCGCACAGCGGGAAAACGGCCCTGCTATGAGGAGGAGGACGGCGATAGGGTGAATAGCCGAAAGGAGGGGGAGCAGCAGCGGCAGCATGGAGGCGCCCAGCAGCCAGCCGCCAAGCGCCGGCGGCAGCTGCAGGCAACTGCGCCAGGGGCAGCAGCCCCGGCTCCCCCTCCCACTTTGCCTGCCCCTGCCACCAACTCAGCTGGCGCACCAACTTCAACTCCGCATTACACACGGCAGCAGCCGCAACAGGAACCACCTTGTCAGCTTGCCACACCCCAACACCCAGCCCCATTCAAGGAGCCCCTGCCTGTGCACCAGCAGGCCCCCAGCCCTGCCTGCCAGCTGCCTCCAGCACAGGCCCCACAACCCCCTCCCCAGGAGCCCCAAGCTGATCCATATCAGCAGCCCGCGGTCCATCCCCAGCGGGCCGAAAGCCAGCCGGGTGCCGCTCCAGCCCTGCGTTAACTGCCCGCCAACCAGCCCCAGCACCAGCAGCCTCCAAGCGCACCCCAGCAGCCCCAGCAGGACCTGTATGATCTGCTGCTGGATGCATCGGAGCAGGCTGCCGCCGCTGGTGCCGGGCTGACCCCAGAGCTGGCAGCATCCTTCATCGGGCTGCCCTTCCCGCCTTGGCGGGCGGCTGAAAAGGTGCGCCAGCTACGCCGGCGGGCCAAGCCCGCAGTCAACCACCAGCCAACCTCGGTGCTGTGTGTCCACTTGTGGCGTGTCGCTGCATGACGTGACTGTGCTGGCCATCCATTTGCAGGAGAGGAGCCTGCGCCGCCTCCTGCAGCACCAGATGTACAGCAGCCCTGCTGCGTGCTGCCGTGCAGGTGGCGTTTGTGTCGCCGCCAGCCAGTTAGGCAGCCTGAGGGTCGCACAATCACGCATCTATCGCCGTGCGTCAGCAGTGGGAAAACAAGAATAGCATCAAGCCAGCTGCCTTTGGGGGGAAACGGATTTCGTCCATTTTGTTACAGCCGGTACCGCCTCCAGGAAGCCCTTTCACAGACTCGGGCAGGCTCTTTTTGATACTGCCTGACAATGCCAGAGTCCAGCTCAGCAACAGCACGTGCTAACGCTGGCTTGAAAGAATGCATGCTACTTGTAAGCAAAAATTGGAAAGGCAGCCGGCGGGCACCTGGGTCGCAGGTGCAGTGCAGGCAACAACGGTCAAGGCCCCGCAGCGTACTGTTTGCATGTAGTGCATCATGCCAGCCGCCGCAGGCCTGAGCAGGAAACAAAAAACAATCGTTGTGATGGTATGGGACATGGGCAGGCGGCACGGCTGGTCTGCTTGCGGGGTCAAGAAAAGGGTAAAGCCAGAGGGGTGCAGGTGAAGCGCATCTTATTGCTAGAGGCGGGGGTGAGGGACAAGCTGGTCCCGAGGCCGAGACAAGCCGCCGGTGGGGGGTAGTCAGCGGTAGGCGTGGTCCCTGGCAGAGTCGAGCATGGAGCGGTCAGACGATGCTTTCTCAGCGCCATCGCTACCCTCCTCCAGGCCGCCACCGTCGCAGCCCTCCTCCGGCACCGGCGCCAGCTGCATGCTGCCCGTCCTGCTGGGCGGCCGGCTCTCCGCCACGCAGGCAGGCAGCAGCAGCGGTGGGGTGGGCGTGCCCTCGGCGCCAGGCTGAGGCTCGTGCCTGGCCTCGCGCTCAGCGGCAGAGTCCTGCACAGCAGCAGGCAAAGCAGCAGCAGGCTCAGGCACGGACGGGAGGGGGCAGGGGCACGGGAGGCGCGGCCAATGCTGGAGCCTGCGAGGCCGCACCCAAGCGGCTTCCTACGGTGCAGTGGCAGCCTGAGCATGCGGCAGGCAGGCGTAGCGCCTTGCCGGCAGCGCTCTGCCCCAGGGCCAGACCGCTAGGCCGCGCCGGCAGCCGCTCACCTCAGCAGACGAGGCCCCAGGCGACGCCTTCTCCAGCCGGTCCAGCTGCTCCGCTCGGGCGGCGGCACGCCTCGGCCGCGCCACTAAAAAGTAGTAGGTGAGGCCAGCCGCCGCCACGAGGGCCGCGGCGCCCGCCACGGCACCCACAATGATGCCAACCGGCACGCCGCTGCCACCGCTGCCGCTGCTGCTTGTGTCGCTGCTGCTGCCGCCGCCGGCGCCCTCGCTGCTGCCATCGGTGACGACTATGTCCCGTGCAGCCATAGGCGGCGCCTCTGCACCCGAGGGCAGCTCAAGGTCCACCCCATTCTGCAGCGAAGAAAGAAAGTTGGAGGGCAAGTGTCAAACCTATCCACAGTTGCCTGCTGGCTGCATCTAAGTACCTTGGATGGTACCACGCATACACCGCGAGTGCCAGCACCAGGCACCCTAGCAAAGCCATACATGCACACCTTGAACGGCACTACCGTCACGGGAGTCGCCAGCTCAGCATCCGCCTCCGCCAGCACCGAGGCGAGCCGGATGTCGCTGCAGCCGGGCAGGCGGCATGGCAAAGGGTGTGTAAGGGTATGTGGGCAGTAGGGCGGGTGGGCGAGGCCAGCAGTCACAGTCGCATGTGCCCACCGCTGGCAGGTGCGCAGGCAGGGCAGCCCCTCCCCCCCCCACCCAGCAGGCCAGCAAGCAGCAGCAGCACTCACGTCAGCTCTTGTTGGCTGGTGTAATACATTTGGATAGGGTCGGTGCCCCCAGCTATGATAATCACTTCCAGCCAGCGAGGGATCAAGCCCCCGCCGCTGCCCCCGCCGCTGCTGCTGGCCTCGCCTTCCTGCTGCAGCGCCCGCCGCCGCCGCAGGCCCGCTGCTGCCGCTGCCGCCGGCTGCGCCTGCGCCGCGCGGAGCGCGCGCCGGCTGGCGGCAGGCAGCGAGCGCAGCGCGGTGCCCGCAGGCACCATGGCCATTTCTTGCACAAACGTGAAGGGCGGCTGGGACAGCACACGTTGGGTGACCGCCTCCAGCAGCGGCCCCTCAGCCCGCGCTCTGAAGCCCTGCTCGTCAATCCCTGCGGGGCAGGCGGGCAGGGCAAGAAGGGGCGGGCAAACGCGATGCCGGTTGCTTCGGCGACCTACCAGGGTGCCAGGTGCTGGCACCAGCTGCCGTGGGTGGCGAGCCCAGCTGTCATCTGCCTGGTGGCAGCAGCAGCAGGAGCAGGAGCAGCAGCCTGTGGTCACCTGTAAAGAAGAAGATTATGCGCACTCCAGAGTCAGGCATGGATGGCGGCGGTGGCGGGGTGGGAGGCGGGCTAGGTGGTGGCGGGCTGGGTGGCAGCGGCGAGGGAGGCGGCGGGCTGGGTGGCAGCGGCGAGGGAGGTGGTGGTGAGGGCGGGGAGGGGGATGGCGGTGGGGGCGAGGGTGGAGCAAACACGGGTGGTGGCGGACTGGGCGGCGGCGGCAAGGGGCTTGGAGGCGAGGGGCTGGGCGGCGGGGGGCTGGGTGGCAGCGGCGAGGGTGGTGGGGGCGATGGCGGAAGCGGCTGTAAACAAGTAGGGGCAGTACGATGAGCAGTTTAGCCGAGGGGGCAGGCGAGCTGACCACGGGTCTGGTCTGGCAGAGCACTGGCGGGGCTCACAGGTGGGGGGGATGCCGCGGCGGCCTCGGGGCGCGCCTCTGCCCCATCCGGCGACGGCGACGGCGACGGCTTGGGCTTGGGCTTGGGCGCCTGTTGCGGCTTGCGCTTTGGCGGCGGCGGCGACGGCGACGCAGCGGGCTGCTGCGGCTCCGGCTGCGGCTGCGGCTTCACAACGGGAAGCTTCCCACCACCGCTGTCGTCTGCCTTCCTGGCAGGCCCCGCTCCGCCAGGGTTGCCGCACCCCAGCGCCTCTGGGGTGAGCTGGTCTGCGGCGGCGGGGTGCTGCATCCAATCCAGCAGCTGGCGCATCGTGACAAAGTGCGCGTCGGGGAGGCGCAGCACGTAGTCTGCAGGGCGGCGCGCGGGGATTGGATCGGGCAGACGTGAAAGAGGCAGAGGCTGGTAGCAAAGCAGAGCGGCTCTGGAGCGAGCCAGATGCAGGTGGAGGGCTAGGCGCTGGTGGGCGTTGCCGCCAGCCCAGCGAGGGGGGACACCAACACCGCGGCACCCACCTATGAACCGCTGCAGCCCAGAGGTGTGGTCCCCCGCCAGCAGCCAGGGTGTGTGGATGTAGAGGGGCATGGGGGCGCGGTTGCCGCTGTAGGCGGCATCGAAATTGGCCTTGAGGATGTCGAAGGTGGGCTGCGTGGAGGCTGCCACGCCGCTGCCGCTGCAGGACGCGGGAGCAGGCGGGGTGGGGCGCGTTGCAGCGGGAGTCGGCCAGGCACATGAGACGGAGCACCAGAGGGAGAGAGAACAAGCTGGAGGGGCCAGCGGGAGGAAGGCTTCAGCACAGGCCGGGACGAGGAAGCCGTGTGGGCAGCTCAGGCGCCCACGAGGCTCAAGGGGCAGCTCAAGAAGCGGGCTCACCTCTCATCTCCATAATCCATCGAGTAAGGCCCCCCCAGAGCACTCAGGTCCCACACTGCAGGCAGCCAAGCGGCGGCAGGTCGGCGGAGCACGGCCAGCAGCAAGCAGCAGCCGCGCAAAGCGCGGCTCAGGCTCCCGCTGGGGCTGGAGGCAGGCGGGGGGCGGTCACCGGCACAAGCAGGTCCCTCGCTGAGCGTCCGATGCCCCGCACTCGTACCTGGCACTTGGAACAGGCCGGGGTGCCGCTCGGTGGGGTGGCAATACTGCATGGGCGACAGGCTGCAGCAGGGGCACACATCGCTTTCCATCATCACATCGCTCCAACTCCAACCACCCTCCACTCACATCAGGCTCATGAGACAGGCCGCACCCCAGCCGCCCAGCCGGGAGCCACCACCGGCTCCTGACCCGGGGAGCACCAGCGGCGGCAGCAGCGGCGGCAGCGGCAGCAGCAGCGCGGCCGGCATCGAAGACAGCAGCGCCTCTCACGCCCGGCAGTTGCCCATGGGCAGGCCGTAATCCATTGTGAAGGGCCACACGCGCTTGGCCATGCCATATGACAGCGAGGTGGCGGCGGTGGGGCTGCCCCCCAGCTCGATCATCGTGCTGCAAGGGAGACCGCAGGAGGGGCGCACGTGAGGGGGCCGTGGTTTGGCAGGCGAGCAGATTTGGCAGCAGTGGCAGCGGCAGCAGCAGCAGCACCAGCGGCAGCATGCACCGGGCGGCTGCGGGTGTGGCGGCCAGCGCCCCGCGGGGCCAGCTGTGCCACCCTGGCTGCCTGTTGCCTGCTCACACGGGCCGCGGCCAATCCCACAAGTCACACCTCCAGCGACCCACACACACACGCGCACCTGTCGTACAGGAAGCCACCCTCCGCCAGCGTGTCCCGCACGTAGCGGTTGGTGTCCAGGTAGGGGGCTCGGAAGCCGACGATGTCGCGGGCCGGGATGCCGCAGGCTGCCAGCTTGCCGCGCGCGCCCACAATCTCCTGCCGCATCGACTTGCGCGTCATGTTCATCAGCTGGCGGGCGGGGAGGGCAGGGAGGGGATGGGCGTGTGCATGGGGAGGGGGAGTGGTGGAGGCAGGTGGAGGCAGGGAGGTGAGTTTCCAGAGGAGCAGGCGTGCAACCGGCTGTTGGTGGTGATGGCATGGGGGCTTCGAGGGGCCGAGCGTGGCACCGGTGGGGAGGCGCACCGGCAACGAGTGTGGGGCCAGGGGCCTCATGCAGGCGCAAGCGGCGGAGGCGGGCACCCCCTCTGGCTTTTACCCGCCCTGCCCACCGATTTGTGGGTTGCTGTGTGGTCTGCAATCTCCCAGCCCTGGTTGTACAGCTCCACAAGCAGCTTGCAGTCTGCAGCAGCCCAGGGGAGGCAGGCCAGGATGACGGAAGGCACATGAGCGCCCCGGATGGGGCGAGTCTCTGCTGCTGCAGGGTGGCTGAGCAGCGTGGGCTGGCTGAGGCTGGCACACAACCAGCGCGCAGCCAGACCGCCGGAGCAGCGGGCGACAGCGCCCAGCCAGCGCCCCGCAGCAGCAGCGGCGGCGTCGCGCCGCGCCGGCCCACCTGTTTCCACCACCATTGTGAACATGGTGGCCGGAATGGGGCAGCCGTTGGACTGCTGCCGCCCCTCCACAACCGCACGCATGGCTGCTACTGAGACGTTGCTGATGGCATCGTCATGCTGCAATCCAGGGCGCAATGCACAGGGGCATCGGCATTGCGAGGGGTTGGCCAGGCTCACGGGGGCAGCACAGCAGCACAGAGGGCGGCGTGGGGGTCTTGGGTGAGTGCGGGGCGAGCGTGGGATGGTGCCATGTTCGGAAGGCGAAGGGCATCACCAGGTGGTGGCGAAGGGCATCGCCATGAGGCGGGCAGGCAGGCAGGCAGGCATGACCAGTGGGGAGCAATGCCAGCTGGCCAGCACGGCAGCAGGGACGGGGGTATACAGCCATGCCGAGTGCAGGGGCGGCACCCACCGTGAACAGCACAAACTGCGGGGCCTTGGGTGGCGCCAGGTTGCCGGGCGGCGAGGTGGAGGGGCAAATGCACCGTGCATCTCCCGCACGGCACAGGCACTTGTACCACCATGGTATGCTGCCTGCAGTCGCACCAGGGAAACATACCATGTAACGATGGCGAGCAGCAGATGAGTAGAGTGCTGTGCTTATGTTGCAGCAGGTGCAACAGCGGGCTGGCGTGGAACCGCCGTCGGCTGGGGGACAGGTGGGCAGCGGCGGCTGCTCGCCGCTGCTGCCCGCCACCGTGCTCCCGGCGCACCTGACACGCCCCCCAGCGCCGTGAGCAGCAGGGCAAGCACTAGGGCCGGCAGAGCATGGGCGGATGTCGAAGCCGACGGGGGAAGGCCTTCTCTCATGGCATCGGCGGGGCTTCGCGCCTGCACACTGCGTTCAATCAGCGCCCCAGCGACCCCGCAACCCATTATTGAGGTCCATGCTGCGTGCTGCTCACCTGTGGTTGGGAGGGAGGAGCGCTTGCAGCAGTCGATCCTCGCGTTTTCCGGCAGCGCGGTCTGCCAATTTGCATAGAGTGGGCCTCCGGGGGCGCTCCCTGCACCTCGACTTGGTTGAGGCATGGCAGGTGCGCCCTGACTAGTAGCAAACAGGTGGCGCTCAATATGCTATGCATATGCATCGATCATCTGAGGTAGGGGATGATTGTCCCCCCCCGCCCGCCCGGCGCCCGCAAGCGGCACCTCCGCCGCCCTGCCACCTGGACCTGGCCGGGACCACACCCTCTGGCAACCCTGCATTGCCCGCACGGCATGGCACACTGCCACCCACTAGTTACCTTTGTGGGGAAGAAATCATTTCGCTTCTGGTACTTCATTCCGGCTCGTGCAATGTTTCCCCCCCACAGGGTTACCCGGGGAATGGGGGGACACAAGAATGGGGGGGCCGGTGCCCTCTAATTGCCCAATGCCATAGTGAGGGAAGGCAGCTTGAAACGGCATGTCCGGATGAAATAAATCGGGGGTTAACAGGGCCAAGGGCTAGCGAAGGGGAAAGACGGGTCAGGGATGGGAGGCAGAGCTCGACCATCGGGGTTGGGTTATTGTGATAAGCAAGCTTACAGCCTACTGCTGCGTGCTGGCATCCAAGGAGATGACGGTGTGCTTGCTGGCATCCTCCGACTCCTGCACAGCACGCACGGCGGTGATGCTCTGACCTCTCTTGCATTGGCGGCAGCAGGTGCACAGCTGGCACCCTTGCCAGTTTCCGGGGCTCACCCACCTTGAGGCTGGCAGCTGAGTAGGTGGGGTTGAATGTTGCTGGTGCATCCAGCATGACGGCACGGCGCTTCCGGCGGGCGAGCACGGCTGCCACCGAGACCAGCAGCAGGCAGCCGCCGCCAGCAGCGATGACGATGATGGCCCACAGGGCCAGCACCTCGCTGTCGCCAGAGGAGCTGCTGCCAGTGCTGCTGCCGTCGGCGACAGGGGCGGCGCCTCCTTCGTCGTCACCGTCTGGCGCAGCCGCGGGAGGGGTTGGTGGCGTGGGTGGGGGCGGACGTGGGGATGGCGGCGGCGGCAGGTTTACCACCTTGCCGTCCTGCTCCGAGGGAGGGCAGCCAGGGGCACGCGGGATGAATGAAGGCGTCAGTCAGGTGCGCTTTGGAGAGGGCGGCTAGGTGGCTGCTCCACTCCCCCGCAGCTCTCCCTCCAGCTGCCCCTACGGCACGGGAGTGCCGGTACCGTACCGCTGCGGCAGTACCTTGAAGGGAACAATCACTGGGGTGCCGTTCATGTTCAGGTTGAGAGCAGACAGCCCAGCAGGCAGGGCCAGCGGGGTCCTGCACCACAGCGGCGGGCATTGCGGGCACTCAGCGCCATGGGACGTGCTGCTCTGCGCTGGCACGAGCAGGCGGGGCATGAGAAGCACCATGCTGTGTGCCCGCGGGCCGGCTTGCCTGGCGAGCGCCTGCGTGGCGGTGGTGTAGAGGCGGATCGGGTCGGTGCCAGCCGACACCAGAGTGACCTGCAGCAGCTGGGCCCACGGCCTGCTGAATCAGCGGCAAGCATCGGGACACGGTGGTGCAGCATGTAGGCCAGGCTCATGGTCAGCCATTTGCAGCCGGGACCTGGCGACCCGTGCTACATGCATGGCTGCCTCCCGGCCAGGCCGCGCTGCTTTACCAACCGCTGCCAACCACCCACCTGGAGGTCGGAGGGTGCCTCCTTAATGTCCTTGGCAGCCACGGTGCCAGAGCCCTTGCTGGGGGTCTGGGAGCTGCTGCTGCTAGCCGCATGCGCCTCCGCCTCGTACTGCAGGAAGGAGGCGTCGTCAAAGCAGCCTCCCTGCTGCGCAGCCTCCGCGGCGGCCTTGCCCAGCAGCCTGCGGCGGCGCGTGGAGGCATCGTCGCCGCCGGCCGGAGCTGGGGCGGCGCCGGGGGCGAGCTGCGGGGCCGGGGCCGGGGCCGGGACGGGCGCGGGGGCTGGCGCTGCGGCAGGGGAGCCTGGAACCGAGTGGATGTCTGCCACAAACGTGCTGCTGGCGTTGATGGCCAGCAGCCGGCTCACAGCCTCCACCACCAGCGCATACTGGGACGCAACCTGCTCCTGGGAGGCGCCTGCATAGGCAAGGCAAGCAACAGACTTGGGCACGGTGTGGGCATGCATGGGCCTCCATCGCGGCAGCAGGCCAGGCCGCCTGTGTATCTCAGCTGCTGGGCAGGCCTGCGCAGGCCACCGGCAGCAGGCAGCAGCCGCTCACCCACCCTTGAAGGTGATCGTGATTTTGATGCCTGCCCGCGGCATGGGGCGAGGCGGCGGCGGAGACGGGTTCATGCCGCACATGGCGCCGCTGCGGCGCAACTCCGAGGCGGGGATTGGGTTCCTCATCCACTCGATCAGCTGGCTCATGGTCACCCAGTAGACGTCCCCCAGCTCCATGGTGTAGTCTGTGAGAGGCAGCGGGGAGGTACACGCGTAATGCAGCAGTAATGCAACGGGGCAACGTTGCAGCTTCGGCAGCCGCGGCAAGGAGCCTTAAGCACACACACGGCACAGGGGTCACCTCGTCATCAGGCAAGCGGTGCAGCGGCAGGCAGGCGGCAGCGCAACCGCTTCCCCTCCTCCACCCATCCCACCACATGCCCACCTGCAAACTTCTGCAGGTCGGCGATGCGGTCGTCGTTGAACCAGGGGGTGTGGATGTAGATGGGGAAGGGGGCGCGGTTGCCGTAGTACGTCTCCTCAAAGTTGGTCATCAAGATGTCGTAAAGGGAGTGCCTGTGGTGGAAGGAGGATTGCAGGCAAGGAGCTTGGGTGTTGGCTGCCAGGTGGCGGTCAGCGATACCCGCTCGCTGCGTGCATGGCTAGCTAGGCAGGGAGGGCCCCCACCTGTTGTCCGAGCCGTAGTCCATTGTGTAGACGCCCTTGCCAGACATAATATACACTGCAGCACAGGAAAGAAAGGAAGGCAGCGGCAAGGATGGCAGCAGCAAGGAAGGATGGGTGGGGAGGCGGGAGGCAGACCAGCAGGCACCCCTGGCAGCTGTGCGCCACGCCCGATGCAAAGCTGCAGCAGGTACACAGGTCACTCATGCTTACGTGGCACCTCCCACATGCCCGGATAGCGCTCCTCGCTGTTGCAGGTCTGGGCGGGCGAAAACCTGCACAGGGGTGTGCCGCCGCATGCTGCTCTCAAGCAAATCATCGGCAAGCACATCATTGGCACGCGGTGCAGCCCAGAAGCAGCAGGGTGGCAGTGAATTGAGGCATGCGGGCACTGCACTGCACCAACCCTGTGCGCGCCACCCACCAGTCACAGTTTTGGGCAATCCCAAAGTCGAGCGTGTCTGCGCCACAGGGGCACGGCAGCAGGCAGAGTGAGTGGCAGGGCTGTCGAGCCTCAGCATGCACGGTGGCGGTGGTTGCACAGGCAGCAGAAGGGCAAACAGCTGGGTCCAGGCGCTCACTGCCACCCAGGCGGCATGCACTCACAGGGCCACACGCGGTTGTGCATGGAGTCGGAGATAGATACGTCGTTCTCCATGAGCGTGCTGTCGAAAAGGAAGCCGTTGTCGTGCAGCACCTCGCGCACAGTCGGGTTGGTTTGCAGGTACGGGTTCCTGAACCCCCGCACCTCCTCCTCGGGAATGCCGCACTCCTCGCTCGCCCAGCGGCGCACCCCCATGATTTCCTCCTCCGTTTCATCCCGGTCCAGGCTGTTCCTGGGCATCTGCAGACAGGCAGGGGCCGGGGGCATGCTGAGCGTGCTGTGGTGGGGCCGCCAGGCTGGCAACATAACAGAACGCCAGGCTGGCGCAGCTCACCGCTATGTGGTTGATGGTGTGGTCAGCAATCTCATACCCTGCGGCAGGAGCAACATCAGTGCAGCCAGGTTTGAGCTCGTTGCTGGAGCTAGGTATGCAGCTAGCAGCAGCGAAGCGCCTCTGCAGTTTGGCGGGCCGCCACAGCCCTTACCGTCTTTCCACAGATCGTATGCCAGTTCGCAGTCGCTGCCTCTCGACATGGTGAACATGGTGGCGACCTGAGTTCATAGGACAGCCATGCCATGCAAGGAGCTCAGCATGCCAGCCAGCCAGCAAGGGGGCAAGCGGCACAGCGCCGCAGCTGCTCAGGCCATCTCCGCTGGCAGCGGGAGCAAGATGGGATGCGCCGCCTACCGCGGGGCATCCGTTGGGATTGTACCGGCCGTCGCACACGTCCCTCATGTACTTGTCGGTGTCCCATTCAATGGCATCGTCGTGCTGCAGCAGGCAGGAAGAAGGCACGCCTCGGCGGCGGAGTCGCCGGCAGCGGCATGGGCAGGGAGGCAGGCAGGTAAACGGATCCGCTGCTCTCGCTCTCTGCTGCTGAATGCCTGAGGATGCCTGCGCCGACGCCAGCTTCCCACCGCTCCTTCACTCACGGTGAACAGGATGAACTGTGGGGTGTCTTCCAGAGAGAGGCCGCCAGGTGGGTCGGTGCTGGGGCAGTGGCAGTTGTCACGGCCCTGGCAGTCGCAGTCATACCAGCCCGGCATTCGACCGGCTGCAGGGCAGGTAAACGCGGTTGATCGGAGCCCAATGGCACCGGTGCCTGCAATTGCCAGGTGCACGCAACAGCGGCGGGGCGGGAGTGGGCGTCGCTGTTGCCATGATGCTGCGGCGGTTTACCTGCCACCGCCCCGGCCAAGCACACAAGTACAAGAGTTGCTATGGCCCGGGGCGCCGCCATCGCCTTTTCGGCCCAGATTTTGTGCCCAGATGATCGGCGGTTGGGGGGTGGAGGTGAGCACACCGGGCGACTGCTGTAACCCTGACTACTGTAACCACGACAGAATCGCGGCGCCCAGCGAAAGACGGTGAGAAAGACAAGGGCGCCGCTAACTTAGCTCAGCATGTCATGTCATGTCATGCCAGCCTGGAGGCGCCGCCGCAAGCATGTGCATGAGTAAACAGCAACGTAATTCTCACCAGTTGGCGCCGTTACAATAGTTGCATCCAGCGGGTGGACATGTCCCGGACTTCAGGCTGCCGCTGGCGGTGCACACCTGCCATCTGCTGTCGCTGCCTGCCGCCGCCTGTTGTCAGCACCCACCCTGCGTGGCAAAGCTCCTCACCGCATTTCTGACCCATCAATATTACAGGCCAGTTAGGAGCAGAACGATGCAAGGCGGCTTGTTCAAAATCTGCCTGTGTGGCTGTCCAGAGGTGGGAAAAGTGCAGTTATTAGTAAGGGCGCGGGAGCGACGTCAGCAGTGCAGCGAGCTAGTTTTCATGAAACAAGTGGCAAAGATAAGAGATAGGGAGCAGAAGGATCAGAGGCATGAATCATGGGGCATGGGTCAGCGGGTTGTGTACACCTGTGCAGGTCAAGTCAAGATCTGAATCAGGGCGGATAGAAACCGCTCGGGTGTGTCGAGGTTGGCAGAGTTGGCGGCAGAACCCAAACACAACGTGGCTGCAGCCCACAAAAGAGAGGTGCGTTTGATCAAGGTGGACGGATAAGAGTAAATGAACCGGATTCTAATCGAATCCAGCTGCATGCGGCAGGGCACAGGGCAGAGCTGCAGCAGCACTCTGAGAGCGGCATGCGAGCCACCGTGGCATGCTGACAGTAGTTGGAAAATCAAGGTTCACTGGCCTCCAGCAGCCTGCTCAGCATCTGAGCCTGGGCCTGGGCAGCTCGGCGGCGCCGCACCACCACCCAGCACGCGATGCCAGCAGCAGCCGCCGCTCCAACCACGGCAAGCGCTACGACGGCCGCAGTCGAGACGCCGCGGCCATCTGCGTTGCTGCCGCTGCTGGAAGCGCCGCCTGCGGTGGCCGCCAGCTTCCTACCCATCAGGCCCGCCAGGCCCATATCCAGCTCAGCATCCTCCTGCAGGGAGGAGTGGGAGCTCCAGCCAGTCCTAATCGGCAGCATGGGGTCACATGCATCGGCATGCCAGCTGGCGGCGTTCAGAGGCCGACCAGGCGCACCTCGCTGGGCTGCAGCTGCGGTGCCAGGATGGGCGGTGCGGCGGGACCGGGTGGCCCCTCTGGTGCTGGGGCGCCGCCAGGCGCTGGAGCCCCAGAAGGGGAGCCTGCTGATGTGTCGCTGTAGGTGAATATCACGCCTGCCGCTTCGGCCGTCTCCTCTTCTGTTTCCGTGGTCGCAGAACCGCTGTCGACGTCCAGGATAGCCTCCTCGTTTTGCGCCACCTCCTCCTCCACCACATCCCCTGCTGCCACCTGCTCGTCGCCAGAGCCCTCCTGCTCCGCCCCCTCGGTATCCAGAGCAGCAGCCGCGGCCTCGCCCTCGGCCGCCTCGATGCTGCTGCTGGCGGCGGTGCCCGGCGCGCCGCCGGGGCTGCCGCAGCCCAGCGCCTCTGGGGTGAGCTGGTCTGCGGGGATCGGGTTGTTCATCCAGGCCAGCAGCTGGCGGACGGTGACGAAGTACACATCGGGCTTGCTGAGGGCATATTCTGCAAGGAGATGGTTAATCGGAGAGGCGCTCAGAAGGAGCAGAGGTGCGGGATAGGCAGCAGGGCACGAACAGAGGCTCAGGGGCGGTTCAGCAGGCACCACGACCACCGGCCGAGCCGCGGCACTGCTGCTCATGCTGCCACAGGATCGCCAGCATGGTGCAGCAGGGCGCCCACCCGCAAAGCTCTGCACCGCCTCCACGTGCTTCTCCAGCCAGGGCGTGTGGATGAAGAGGGGCATGGGGGCGCGGTTGCCCTTGTAGGCCGCATCGAAGTTCTTCTTCAAGATGTCGTGCACTTTGTGCTTGCCGTCGCTGCAGCAGCAGGGTGCCGGCGGCAGCGAATGGTCGAACGACCGCAGCTGTCCCCAGCTGTCCCCAGCTGTGGCAACAGACAGACCAGCAGTGTGCAGCCGCCAGCTCAACACCACTCACGCTCCATAGTCCATGGTGTAAGCACCGACCGCGTGCAGGTCCCACACTGCAGGCAGGCAGGCCAGCGGAGTTGGCAGAAGCAGGTCAGGCAGGCGGTGCACGTGGCGGGCGCCGCACTCAGTGCTGAGCAGCGTCCGCTCTGCCACGCACGCATGCCGCCACACCCGAAGCTGCGCCGCACCTGGCACCTCCCACATGCCCTGATAGCGCTCGCTGATGTCGCAGGAGGCGTAGGGCTCGGTGGGCTGGCAGCTGATGGGCACGCCGTCTTGCATGGTGAAGGGCCACACACGCTTCTTGGGGCCGTACGACAGAGAGGAGGCATACGTCTCCAGCCCCGCCATCTCCACAATGGAGCTGCAGGGAGGGGCAGCAAGGCCCAGCACCAGCGGCGGTTGCATCGGGTTGGCAAGGGCGGCATGCTCGGCCAGCGAGGCAGGCGCTCGCACGTGCGGAACAGCGCAGCCCGACAAACGGAAACCACCACCACCACCACACCCGCACCCACACCCACACCCACACGCAGGCGCACCTGTCGTATAGGTATCCTGCCTGGTGCGCCACCGCCCTGGCCTTGCTGTCCATCTGGAGGAAAGGAGCCCTGAAGCCCACCACGTCAGACTCGGGGATGCCGCAGGCCGCCAGGTTGGCCCGCGACTCCACAATCTGCTCCTCCAGCTGCGCCTGCTCCAGGTCCAGCACCTGCACAGAGACGCGTGTGTGTGTGTGTGCTGGTGTGTGGGTTGTGTCCAGATGTAGGTGCCTGTGCAGGGTGGGTGGGTGCGCCGGCTAGGAGGTGGTGGGCTGCGCTGGCATGGGCAGCAGCAGCAGCAGGGACAGCGGCAGGCAGGGCAGCAGGCGCTGCCCTGGCGCCTCACCGAGATGTGGTCCTCTGTGTGGTCGGCAATCTCGTAGCCGGCATCGTACAGCTGCTTCAGGTAGTCGCATTCTGCAGGGAAAGCACATATACAGCAGCAGGCAAGAATGCAGCAGGTAAACACGCGGCTGACAGCTTGCGATGGCTGCGCCTCAGCGCTTGCGCCCCCCCACAGCACAGCACGCGCGCAAGCATTGCACTTGCTTGCGTAGTGGCAGAGCCAGGCGGCAGTGGGCATGCACGGCACTAGTTGGGACACGGAGCAGGCAGCGTGCCTGTGAGGGCAGATGTGGTGAACATGGTGGCCACCGCAGGGCAGCCGTTGAGCGACTGCCTGCCGTCGGTCACGGCGCGCATGGCTTCATAAGTGACATCTTTGATGCCGTCGTCGTGCTGCAAGCCAGGGGAGCAGGTCGTGCGCAAGGCAGGGCGCTCACAAACGCGGCTGCGGCCTCCGCGGAAGCAACCGTGGCCTGCTGCCGCCTGCGCGGCTGCCGCTGTGTCAGCCATCCAGCCAGTCAAAACATCCGGAGGCTGCGGGCAGCGGGGGGGGGAGGGAGGGGGCGTGCTCCGCACCCACCGCAAACAGGATAAACTGGGGGGTGCGCTCAGGGTCCAGGCCTCCGGGAGGAGAGATGGAGGGGCACACACAGTCGGGCTGCCCTTCGCTGCAGACGCAGCTGTATCCGGAGGGCACTTCGGCTGCAGCAGGCGCAGACCAGGCACAGCCACACGGTTGTGCACGAGTTGCTGGGGAGCCGGTCTGTGCCTGGGCAGCACCGGGGGGCACAGGCGCCAGTCACTGTGTGGCCCGTCACTCCCGCATGCCCCTCAGTTCCGCAAGACCTGCTGCTGCGCACCTTGGCACATGGGCGGTGCGGCCAGGAGCAAGACGGCCACAAGGGCTGTCCAGGCGGCAGTGGCGGCGGGAGCGGCGGCGCCACGCCTGCAGCGGAAGGCGGCGCAGCGGGTGGAACTCATCAGAATCTCTTTGTATTCCATACGCCTGCCAGGTCCCAACCAAGGCGCACTAGCGCGTTTGGCAGCCAAAAAGGGGAAGGGGGCGGTGCTCGCGCATGCCCCGCATGCGCGAGCGTGGCCTGTGCAGTGGGCCTTACCACTCCCTCACCTTGTTCTGCGAAAACGCTGGCCTCCAGCGGCGCAGGGCCCACCCGCCGCGCCCATTGCTCTCCCAGCTCCGTGTAGCGCTCACCACCTGCTACCGACGGAACTGAGGAGAAGCACTGCACCTATGGGAGTTAAATCGGACGCATGGAGGACGAGAAGCGCCCAGCATTCAAGAGCGTGCAGTACACCTGCCTCCGCTCCTTTCCCCCTCTATGCGGGGATTGGCACTCGGGATTGCAGTCGGGACGACACAGGAAAACTAAATCCTGCTCCTGTTCAATGAAATATCCCAGTTTGTTTCGAGACTTGCAACCGCAGCAGCGGTGGCACACCCGCTGGCATACCAGCTGGCATACGCTGCAGCGCTGCCGCTGTGCGGCCTCACCGCAGCGCGCTCTGCATTGTCATGTACATCTGGACGGCGACTGCCTGCAGCAGCTGCTGCCCGTCCTGCAGCGCGCGGCGGCGGCGGGCGGGCGCCCCGCTGGCGCCAGCTGGCGAGGCGACCAGGCTGACGATGAAGGCGGGGGAGTCTGACGCCTCCGCCAGCACCTGGCGGAGCACAGACAGCAGCTGCGGCTCTGTGATCTTCCTGAAAGTGCCCTCGGAGCGGCCTGTGCATGGAGGCATGGGAGGCAGGAACACCAGCGTTTGGGATGGAGACGGGTGGCTGATGCGGGAGTGTCGCATGCAACCCAACCTGCAGGGGCCTCTTGCTGTCCAACATAAACCTCGACCCAGAGCCAGAACGCAACATGGGGGTGGATGCGAGTGCGGTACCGCAACCAGGAGGATCTGATTGCTGAGCTGTACCAGATGTGAGGCAGGCGGAGCTGTACTCTGTGTTACAGTCACCCCGCTATGATAGGCGGCGTGAGCGTGTGTACTGGCACAGGGTGGTGGAAGGAGGAAAGCAATGCCGGATTTGGGTAGTGCATGTAGAAACATAGTTATGTGCAAGCTAGATACCAAGTGCAAGAAAAAACTTAGAGGACAGTTCATGTTATCACATCTTATCACAGTAAGCATTCACGGCACCCAGCACTTGCGCGACAAATGGCACCGCACTCAGCACCGCTCCAGCAAAGTCGACGTGGTTGCACTTCCAGCTCTCCGTCTCAGGGTCGGCGTCGCAAGACACCTCCATGTTGATGAAGCCCGACAGTTTTGCGTCACCATCATCGCCAGGGGGCAGGAACCTTGAGATCTGCAGGGATGCTGGCATGGCCAGCACCCCAGCATCCTCCGCCCAAGTGCCGGATCTGTCGATGCGGCTGCATGCAGCAACACATGCATGTCAGGCAAACACTTGGCGTGCAGGTGTGGTGGTGACCATTGGTTTCTCTCTCTCTCTCTGATCTCCACATAACACCCCGAGGGCTGGTAACACCCCATGCCACCCCGGCACAGCCACCCTCCAAGCGGGGCGTGGCTCACTTGAATTCACAGGCGTTGCCTAGCTTCTTGTCCAAGTTGAGGAACCACCAGGTGCAGGTGCTGAGCGAGTACCAATAGGCGCGCCACGGGGGAGGCCAGTCGTTGGCCTGAGTGGTGTTCAAGTCGGCGGCCGCCTTCAGCAGCGGCAGGATTGCGTCCCTGGCCTTCTGCGTGTACACGCCACTGAACTGGACGGTGCACTTGCCAGGCGCCCAATACCCGCATGCATATGCATTGCCGCTGTCGGCGGCCAAGTCGCATTTGCGGTGGTAAGTGGACCCAGGCGTGTGACCCTTCTGCCAAACGTCAGTGGCGATGTCAATCTCGGCGCTGGCGCAGCCTGCCTCGGTGCATGCCTCCTCCACCTTGGCCACAATGTCGGCAGGCTTCAGCTTTCCAATTGGCACCTTGCGCTCTGACACTCTCACCATCGTGCACAGCTGCCCTGCAGGAGAAGCCACCAGTTATGACCAGCCTTGGCTGGCAGCAACATGCTTTCCATGGACTGGCAGCACGCATGCATCGACCGGCGGTGGCTAGAAGGGGAATGCCGGGCTGCTATACTACGCCTTGTTGCCCACCTCCGCACGTGCCAGCGTTAAGTCCTAGACGAGATATTTCTTCTTGTTGCAGCTCAATGGAGGTCTCGGGGCTGCCTTCATTGAGGATCTGGAACATGGGCCATGGCAAGTATCAGTCTAGTGCACTTGGTCTTGGCACAACCACCGGTGGCCCAGCTTGTCCCGCAGGGAGGGCCACGGGGGCCAGAGGGCGTTATGGACTGACACGTGACAACATGCCAAACAAAAGTGCCATGTTCGACATCTCACCTCGCCGAGGGCTGGCAGTCCAGCCTCAGGGCTGTTCGTTGTTTGCCCGTCTGGCGCCGCTGAGTCCCTGAAACAGCCTGGGATGGCCAGGATGGCATCCACTTGAATGGCGTTGGCGTCGGAGATGCAATTTTGGGCAGCCAGATCGTCGGTGGTGGTGCCGCATGCCTGTGCAATGGCTGCAAGCCCATCTCCAGCCTTGACGGTATAGGCAGGTCCACAGGGGCATCGCGACGTTCCAGCGGCAGACTGCAGCAGCATAGGCGAGGTAGGCGAGCCTGGAGTCAAACCACGCCTGCTTGTCACCACTCCGCTCAACGCACATTTCAGGGCGTGCCAGCTGCTCCCTCCACATCTACTCACGTCCTGGGACTGCTCAGTATTTGGGGAAACTTCCAGTGACTCTGGCGGCTTGGTGTCTGTGGATGCTTCGCCACAAGAGGGAATGGTCAGCACGCCACCCTCTGGAACGAAGTTCACGTCAGCGATGCTGTTTGCGGCAGCCAGCTCGTCAGTGGTGGTGCCGCACGCCTGTGCGATTGCTTGGACGGTGTCACCTGCTTGAATGGTGTAGGTGGATCCGCAAGGGCAGGGCGCTTGCAGAGCACGGCGGCCCAGCGGGCGGGCGCCGCCACCTGCGTGCAATGGGCAGAAGTGCGGGGACCCACAGGTGAGGCTGATGGGCGGATGCCGCGTGGCTTCGCAGCAACATAAAATGGTTGCTTGCCTGCGTCAGTAACTTGGGCGAGCGCTCTGCAGCACATACACATGGCAAGCGCCGCCATGCTGCCGCGCAGCCTCATGGTAGCAGCGCTGCGTGGCTGCTAGCGTGGGCACGGTGCACCTTCAAGATCACAAAATAGGAGAGCAGTGGATCCGCTGTCACTGCCGCGTTGAATCCCGGAGGAGCTTCGGAGGAAGTCGACTACCTGCAGATCTTTACACGTCCCCTTAGACTACTTGGACTTGAATGAGCAACAGCACACATTTCAGAGTGCATGGTGCCTCGGGCCGCACTGGTACCACTGCCCAGCGCTGCGGCACTGACGTCGTCGACGAGCTGTGGGCAGCAACAGGCAGCACAGCAGGTGCATGTTGTGCAAGAACCAGCTGCACATCCCAGCTTATCAGCCAGCTCCAGTCTCGCCCGGTGGTTGCTGCTCCATACGCCGCTTCAAGTTGTCCAGCAGCCTTGATTGCGCCTGCCGTGCCTGCGACACCACAAAGCCCCTGCAGAAGGCCACGGCAGCGCTGGTTGGTTGTGATGCAAGCTGGTTCCACTGGGCTTGCATGCCGCAACAGACAACACTCCTGCTGCTGCAGATACATCCGCAAAGGAAAGGGCGCACCTCAGCAGCCAGGGCGCTTCCACCGACACGTCAAGCGCGACATGCGTGCCGCCACTGCCAGAGCCACCTGCTGCCGTTGCTCCAGTTGCCGCTGCTGCGGGGCTGAATGTCCAGGCTGCCTGCACGGCTACCAGTCCCCATGGTGGGCTGGTGACCAGAAATCGCATCTGCAGTGGGGCTGCATCATTGTCAATGTGCCCCGCTGCTGATTGCCCTGCCTGCGGTCGCAGGCCTCGCCTGCCCAGCAGCTGCTGGCGCACGTGGATGCGGTTATGCAGTTCCAGCAGGCCCCAGCACCAGCTGAAGCGCTCCACAGCCTCATACTCCAACTCTGCCGGCTGGTCAGCTGATGCAACTTGCTGCGCGCTTGCTGCATGCGCTCCTGCCGTGGCTTCTGCTACTTGGCCGTGGTGCTGTGCACCCTCCACTGACACGAGCAGCGGCTGCAATCCTAAAAGGCTCTGAGGATTGCTCATATGCCGGTAAACGTGCTCCGGAGGAATGCCGTGGATCGCTACGCCCAGCCGAAAACTGGTGCCGGTGCCTGTGACGGCCACGCCGACGGCCGCCACCCTGCTTGCCGATGCTGTCGCCATGGACTGCTAGGAGTGTAACCACGGATGGCGATGGGCTGCTGATGCCATGTGGCGCCGGGTTTGAGGTGCACGGGGCTAAACGACACGACCCCGACTACAAAATGCTACCCAGACCCATATTAATTCGACAAATTTAACAAAGAGCTGCAACTGCACAGCAAGAATCCGTAGCACGCTGGTTGGGGCTCTCACGTTGGAACTGCAGCGGTGCCACCTCAGCACTGCCGCCACACCGCCGCCCACAGCTGCAGCAGCAGCAGATCCGTAATGCCAGGACACTCTCTGCATTGCACGCACGGCATTGCATCACGCTCCATCGGGCACCTCTCGGAAGTTGGTGAGGAGCGCCGCCCGCCCCGACTGCATGCCGACGCACATCCACGTGCCGCCCGCCACCAGGTCTCGGCCGCCCAGGATTCGCTGTCTCGTCCTCCCAAAAGTGGCTGGGCGGGGTGGGCTTCAGACGTAGGGTGGCTGCAGGCTTGGTTGGTGCTGCCTGGCGGCACCCGCCGCCAGCCGCCTGCGGGCGCCAGCGGGACGCCCAGCAGCGGGTGTGCCAGCCATGGCGCTGCCTGCCCGACAGCAGCACTGTCTGCCGCTATATGCTGCCGTGGGCATGGCATGCTGGGCACCAGCGGCTGCATTTCCACGCTCGATGGTTCACATGAAACAATAAGAATACAAGAGGCAGAGAGAGCATATGGAGGTATGCTTTGTGGTTCAGGGTACCCGCAGGATAGCGACAACCTGTGGCCGGGAGCTAGCTGCAGGCCACTCCATCAATGAATGGGACACTTTCAGCTATCAACGATGTCACACAGGTGCAGGTAAAAAAACGCAAGAATGGTAGGGAAGGTGTTCAATTTACTCAGGGCGGGAACGTTTGCTTGCCGCCAGCCGCCACCTTTCAGGCCTGCTCCTCATACAGCGCATTGCTCGCCAGGTTGGTGGTGGGGTAAGGTGCTGCGCCAGTCTCGACGTAAGCGCACGGCTCCGGCGCAGAGTCCTGCAGTGCATGGGCAGGCACAGCAGGGTCCAAGGTGGCTTCTGCCTCTAGCAGTAGACGGGCCACGGAGCAGGGCTGGGCCGAGAAATCGGTTCGGTTGACTCGCAGGTGCCTGTGGCTTCAGCGCTAGCCCTCACCTGGCTGGACGTGTCAGAGGCACTGTGCGCCTTCGTGCCACTGGGCGCACCAGCGGTGTCTGCGACGGCTGTCCTCCGCTGGCGCGGGCGCCACACAAACCAGTACACCAGGCCCGCAGCCAGGATGACCGCTGCCGCGCAGCCTATAGCGGCGCCCAGGATGGCCCCCAAAGAGGTGCCACCGCCGCCGCCGCTGCTGCTGCCGCTGCTGCTGGAGTCGGCGCTTGCAGGGACGGGGCTCGGAACTGGCACCGGCGTGGGTGCGGGGCTCGCTGGCTTGGGCGTGGACGCTGCTGGTGCTGGCGAGGCGGTGGTTGGCGGCGGCAGGTCGATTCCATTCTGCGGCAGCGGGCAGTAGCGGAGAACAGCAGCCGGGCGATCAGAATATCTGAATCTGTGCATGCCATCTCTTTCCGGCCTCAGCAACACTCTCGTCCGCAAGCAGCACGTGTGCGCTGCCATCCAGTCACCAACCACACTCCTCCACAGGCAGGTAAGGCAACAGCGCACCTGGAAAGGCACGATGGTGGGTGGCGCTGCCAAGTAGGCTCCAGACAGAGCCAGGACGGTGCCGATCCTCCCATCCCTGCAGAGACACGAGATAAAGAGTAGAGGTCACCAGACATGAGTTGGACTTTAAGGGGTGGTGGACGGCATAGCGGCCTGGAGTGCACGCTGGCAGAAGAGCAGCGGGCACAGGCTGCCGCTCTGCGGCCTCACCGCAGCGCGCTCTGCATGGTCCTGTACATCTGGAGCGGCTGGGAGCCACCCACGACGGCGACTGCCTGCAGCAGCTGCTGCCCGTCCTGCAGCGCGCGGCGGCGGCGAGCGGGCGCCCCGCTGGCGCCAGCTGGCGAGGCGACCAGGCTGACGATGAAGGCGGGGGAGTCTGACGCCTCCGCCAGCACCTGGCGGAGCACCGACAGCAGCTGCGGCTCTGTGATCTTCCGGAAAGTGTCCTCGGAGCCGCCTGTGCATGGAGGCACGGGAGGCAGGAACACCAGCGTTTGGGATGGAGACGGGTGGCTGATGCGGGAGTGTCGCATGCAAGGCTGGCGACCGGCGCAACCTTCAGAGGCCTCCTGCTGTCCAACACATTCTCCAACCAAGACAAACAGCATCACGGGGTGGATGCCGAGCCCAGCCGGGTGCAGCGGCAGCCTTGCTCACCTCCAAGAGTCATGGTGATGCGGATGCCAGATGGCGGCATGGTGGCAGGGCTGGGTGAGGGGCTGGGTTCGGGTGTGATGACAGGGTCGGGTGTGGTGGTCGGTGTGACTGGCACGGGATCCACCGGCACGGGATCCACAGGCAAGGGCTGGGTGTCCGGATCAACTGGTGGGATGACTGGCGGCACGACCACCGGAACCGGCACGGGCGTCTGCACCACCACCACGGGCGGCGGCGGCGACTTGGCCTGCGGGGTTGGCGGCGGGGGCGACTTGGGCGGCGGCGGCTTGGCCGTGGCGGCGGCCAGCTGCTGCGGGGTGGCGGGCGCGCCACCGGGGTTGCGGCAGCCCAGCTTGAGCGGCGTCAGCTGACCGGCAGGCACCGGGTTCTTGAGCCAGGAGATGAGCTGGCGCACGGTCACAAAGTAGACATGGGGCTTGGCGCGTGCATAGTCTGCGTGGGCGAAGAAGGCGGTAGGCAGCACGGAGGGATGGGTGGGTAGGGCAGGGGCAGTGCTGGAGTTAGCCTGCCAGGAACAGGTGCCACTGGCAGCGCCCCAGAACCATGTCCAGGCAAACGGCCTAGCCCTCCAGGTTCAACGGGGACGCTGCCGCACAAATGTGAAGGGCAGCAGCAGGAGCGCCGGCAGCGGCGGCGCTGCACATGGGGCTGGAACCCACCCACAAACTTCTTCAGCTCTCCCAGGCGGTCGCCCTCCCGCAGCCAGGGGGAGTGGATGAAGATGGGAAAAGGGGCGCGGTTGCCGCTGTAGGCGGCATCGAAGTTGGCCTTGAGAATGTCAAACACAGAGGCGTCGCCGTCGCTGCGGGGGGGCAGGGAGGCGGGCAGGCACCGCGTCTTTGGTGGGCACAGGTATGGCGCTCTTTTTCTCGTGGCCCGTACCGACACCTGCCACGTTCCAGCGGGCTGCAGTACCCTGCTACCCAGCCCTAGCGCGCCCCAGAAAGTCCCTGCCGGGTGCAGCCGCCAGCTCAGTGCAGCCGCCAGCTCAGCGCCCACTCACTCTCCATAGTCCATGGTGTAAGGGCCGCCCAGTGCATTCAGGTTCCACACCGGCACCTGCCACAGCCCCGGGTACTTCTCGTCCTTGCTGCACTGCTGGATGTTGTCAAACCTGCATGGCACGGGCAGAAAAGGGACCCGTTTCAGCTTCCCGGTAGCTGCCGGGCACAGGGCCCGCCCAGCGGTCTCTCATCCGCACCCTAGCCGGAGGGCGGCAGGACAGCAGCAGGCTCCACCCCGCAGCATGCGCCAGTCTTTCACATCCTCCTTACCAGCCGCAGGCGATGGGGATGCCATTGGTCATGTCCCAGGGCCACACTCGGGACCCCATGCCTCTGGTCAGCGACTTGCCGCTGCCCTCCTCAATCAGCGTGCTGCAGGGGCAGTGGCACGGCAGAGGTACTCCCTTTACGACGCAGCACACGAGCATGGCTGCTCAAGGCATCTCCACGTGCCCTGATGGCCCGCCTTGCCACATGTCTGCACCTTGCGCTGATCGTTCCCCCCTTGCGAGCGGAGTCCACGTGGCGCCACATCCCCCACCACCCAACCCCAACTAGTGCTAAGCCTCGATTTGCACCCACCTGTCATACAGGTAGCCATTGTTCTTCAGAACCATGCGGATGTCGGGCTTGGTCTCCAGGTAGGGCGCTCTGAAGCCCACAATCGACTGGATGGGGATGCCGCAGTCGGCCAGCCCCTGGCGCCCTCCCAAGATCTCCTCCCTCACATCCTTCAGCCCCATCTTGCTCATCTGCAGCAGCCGCAGCGCGGCGGACGGCCCTGGGTGAATGCTGGCGCTCCCCACCAAACATGGAAGCAATGCCAGGGCTGGGGCGGTGGGCGGCCTCAGCGGCAGTGGATCGGTGGGGCACCCTGCCAGCACAAGAGGCAACGTCGCAAAGCTGCAGCTGGGGAGTGTGAGCTTGGGCGGCGTCTCACATGCTCGTGGTTCTTAGTGTGGTCTGCCACCTCAAAGCCAGAGTTCCACAGCTTGCTCAGAAGCCCGCAATCTGCAAACGGCGGCATCGCATATCAGCACCGTGCGGCAGGGCAGGGCAGGGCAGCGAGTCGTCGCGGCACAGTCAAATGGGCTTCGGGAGGCTCGGCGGTAGCACACCGCACAGCACGCAGCATGCCGCACCTGTGCCCTGGACTTGTGTGAAGAGCGTGGCCGTCAGCGGGCAGCCGTTCGCCAGCCTGCCGTCCGTCACTTCGTGCAGCATGTCAAAGGTTGTGTCGATGATTGCGTCATCATGAGTGAACAGCACAAACTGGGGCGTGATGGCTGGCGGCAGCCCACCCGGCGGCGCCAGCGTCGCCTGGCCAACTGCACAAGGTGGTGGGGACAGGGAAATGCAATGAAGCATGACAGGGGAACCCTGGTGCTGACGTGCCGGGGCCCTGGATGTTGCTGGCACAGAGCTCTGCGCACACCACCACTTGCGCTGGCGCCGCCGGCTGGGTGGCGGGCAACACCCACCTGCGCAGGCAGTCCCCACTGCCGCCAGCAGCACCGCAACTTGCAGCGCCCTCATAGCTGATGCCGAATTCGCGCGGTGGGGAAGGCCTGGAGGCCAAGGTGCTCCTCCGACCTGCGGCAGCACGCCAAGCTGAGCGTCTTGTTTCCTGGGAGCGGCGCGAGAAACCGCTTGAGACTCGGATCCCTAGCTCGCGAGAAGCGCGCACCTGCCCCACAGGCGGTAAACAAATGTCAGATGAGATTGCGCGGCAGGAAGGCCGGAAAGTCGCCGGCTGCTGCCCACAGTGCGTGAAGCGATGTATGTACGTGAACGGAGCGCTAGATCTGGACAATAATGGCTCCTTGTCGAAGCCTCGTGCTGACCTGGCAGGCGCCGGCAAGAATAGCCCTCAGGTTGAGCTCATGAAATATTGCAGATACCGTGCCTTGAAGGACTGTTGGAAGTGATGAGCCCATCCAGCAGTCTAACACTTGAGGCTGGAGAGGGTGCCTCCACTCCCGCCATGCCGCCACCCGCATGCCGGCTCGGGCCGCAACGCAATCTCTACGTGTGAAACATCTTTGAAATTCTTAGATAACCTCATCAAACGAAAAAACACCGGCTATCTCAAAAACACGGGCAAAGGGCCCAAAGAGGAGTGAAGTCACCGCCCGGGTGATACCGGGAGGCAGGCGCCCCAGTCACGCCTTGCATGCGGCCCACAAACAGCTAACCCACTGAAGGTGCCTAACTTAGTGCAGCTAGCGAAATACGTAAGCATATAAAGGAGAAAGAGATACAAGCTTCCTGCAAGATGCGCAGCGTGCAATAGGCACGCTGAGAGGATGACTAGAGCGCACACAAAAACCTGCCCAGCCAGCGGGGTGGTACTTGCTGAACAGTGCCTGGGGTATGCATTTCGGCAGGTGCTCGAAGGGGTACTCGAGGAATGAGGGAATGGGGAATCACAAATGAGCGGAGGAGAGTGCAGGGGGCGCCTGAGCACTTTTGGGCTACGGGAAGGCCCAGCAACCCGCTGCCAGGAAGAGGATTGTGTGCCAAAAGGAGTGGAAAAGGGTGGGGGTGAACATCACAGGACTGTGCACAGGGGCGGATGCACGGCAAGCGTGCCTCAGTCGGCAGGAGCCACTCCACAGCCCCACGGGGGCTGGGGTGCAGCCATAGGCCTTGGGTCCAGGCAATGATGATCAAGAGAGGGTGCTAGTGTAAGGGAGGGCAGCTTTGTTGGGTTGCCTGGTATGTGAAGCAGGTTGAGTTCTAATGCGGCGCAGGAGATGCCTCCCCAAGCGGGAAGCCAGATGGCAAGTCCGCGACAGGAGGAGTCAGCGCAGCATGCGGCGTGCCACGGTGCCATCCTGCAGGAGGGCAGAGCGCGGGTGTGCGCGCAGGCGGCAGCGCCTGTCAGCAGCAGCAGTAGCGCAACTCGCAGCGAATCCCCCGGCCTGCGTGCGGAAGCCAAGCGGCAGCGCCGGTGCAGCGGGCAAGGCAAACAGGGCTGGAGGGCTCGAGCGGACGGGCACGCGCCTCAATCACCCCCTCCACTTCCTCCTCAGGCGCGCCCTCCACAAGCTCCTCCTCCGCCTCGCCAGGGGCCGGAGTGGGTGCCACGGAGGGCTCAGGCGTGGGCGCCGTTGCGGGCGCGGGGGCAGGCGCCGCACTGCCAGTGCCGTTGCTGTTGCTGTAAGTGCCCATGTATGTCCCGGTGGGGGAGGGACCCGCCCCGCCGGGGCTGCCGCAGCCCAGCCCAGCGGGCGTCAGCTGATCTGCGGGGATCGGGTTGCTCATCCAGGCCAGCAGCTGGCGGATGGTGATGAAGTAAACGTCGGGCTGGCTGAGGGCGTAGTCTGCGAGGGGCGATGAGGGCGAGGGGAGCAGCGCTCAGGGTGAGGCGGGGCAGGTAGCCTTGCTGTGAGCCCAGGAACACAGGAGTGCAGCTGGCACATGAGTTGCCCGCCAGTGCGCAGGCACACAAGGGTCAAGCGCCCAACGGGACGGGCCCAGCCGCCCTCCCAGCCCACCCGCAAACTGCTGCACGTCGCCCTTGTGGTCCTTCAGCCAGGGTGTGTGGATGAAGATGGGGAACGGGGCGCGGTTGCCGTTGTAGGCGGCATCGAAGTTCTCCTTGAGGATATCAAACACGCTGTGGTCGCCGTCGCTGCACTCGGCAGCGGCAGCAGCGGCAGGGGTCTGACCCGGCACGATGGCAAAAGGGCATGCTCGAGGGCTGGCTAAGGGCTTGCCCTTAGGGGCTGGCCAGGCAGGCACACCAGCAGCTGTCCCCAGTGCTGCAGTAGGTAGGCGCAAGCTAGCTATATGCCAGCTCAACACCACTCACTCTCCATAGTCCATGGTGTAAGGGCCGCCCAGCGCACTCAAGTCCCACACCGGCACCTGCCACAGCCCCGGCCAGTACTCGTCCTCATCGCACTTCTGGATACTGTTGTACCTGCAGGCAGACATCACAGCGGGCGCAGCGCAGCGGCGGCGGCAGTGAGGCGGGCGAGAGCCGGGGTGGGAGGCGGAGGCGGGCAAGGGCAAGGCTTCGCTGATGCGGGGCCGCCACCGCCGCTGTGCTGGGAAGCGTCGCGCCGGCGTTCCACCCGCCACAGATGATCGCCCTGCTCACCAGCCGCAGTTAATGGGGATGCCGTTCTCCATGTCCCAGGGCCACACCCTGCCGTCCATGCCCCAAGTGATCGACCGGCCGGTGCCGTCCTCGATCAGAGAACTGCGCAGGCGGGGAGGGTGCGGGAGGGGCCACGTACGTGTGTTGAGTGTGTGTGTGTGCAGGCGAAGCACGCATGGCCCCCCGGTGTGCTCCCACGGCAGCCAGCCTGCGGGCCTGCCGTCAGCGGGCCACCATGCCTCGGCGGATCCCCCTTCTCCCTTGCCCGGCCCTCTCCCTCTGGAGTCAAACTCGCCCGCTGCTCAGCCAGCCTCTCTGTCACACACACGCGCGCGCGCGCGCACACACACACACACACACACACACACACACACACACACACACACACCTGTCGTACAAGAAGCCGTTTTCGTGCAGTATGGCCCTGACCTCGGGCTTGGTCTCCAAGTACGGCGCCCGCAGGCCCACCACATCCTGCTCCGGGATGCCGCACTCGGCCAGCTTCTCGCGTGCCCCCACAATCTCCCGCCGCAGGTCGGAGCCATCCAGCTCCAGGAACTGCAGAGGCGGGCGGCAGTAGATACGGGCGGGCATGAGCAGCTGGGACAGCAGGGCAGGCACCCGGCTCGACGGGTGGCGGGGGCGAGCGGCCAGCGGCGCGGGCAGCTGCAGGGGTGGCGGCAGGACGGCGCAGCAGAAGGCCCGGCGCGGCGCCAGCGGCAGCAGAGCAGGGCGCCGCCACCGCAAGGAGTCCCACCGATTTGTGAGTCTTGGTGTGGTCTGCGATTTCGTGACCTTGGTTGTACAGGTCCACAGCCAGGTCGCAGCCTGCAGGAGACGAGGCACAGGAGCCGCCGCTGGTACGGTGGGGCACAGCCGCAGCGCAGGCTGCAAGCGCGCTGGGTCCGCCCGCAGCGGGGCCATGCCCCGCCCCGTCTGCACCGGCAGCTGCACGGGTCCAGGCGGCTGGCGGCCGGGCGCCGTCCCTGCGCTCACGTGTGCCCGAGGTGGTGGTAAAGAAGGTGGCCAGGGCGGGGCAGCTGCCGCGGCCCAAATCCAGCGAGCCCCGCCCGCCTGTGACGTCGGTCATTGCGTTGTAAGTGCCCTCGGTAATGGCATCGTCGTGCTGCAGCATGGAGGGAGCAGCGGGCGGGCATGAGGGGAGGCACAGGGTCGGAGCGGGGCGCTGCCAGGAGGTGCGCATGACGCGGAGGCGCCGCCGCCGTCACTTGCCGCGAACAGCACAAACTGCGGGGTCTGGGAGGGGCTCAGGCCGCCCGGCGCCGAGGTGGAGGCGTCGACTGCAGGGGAAGGCAGGGCAGCGGTGCTGTCAGCGAGGGATGCCTGCCCCACTGCGTGCCAGCTGGGTGGCGGCGGGCGGCACCGGCGCCGCGGCTTCACTGGCACTGGGACTCACTCCCCGCCTCCACAGAAGCGGCCGCTGTTAGGACGATCAATGCCAGAGCGACATGCATGGTCGATTGGCGCTGTAGAGGAGCGCGGAGGCTACCACGCGGTGGGACCCGCCGCGTGCCCGAGGCCCCCATGGCGAGGTTTTGCGCCCGCTGCGCCGTGCTATTTGGCGATCACCAGGTGTGTGTTGGATCAAAAGGAAGTGCGTACCAGGGTACGCGAGCCAGCGGGCCGCGACACTTTGGGTCGCTGCCGTCTCCCTCCCACACACCAGCCCACTGGAGCTGTGGAGATTCCAAAACTGCCCGGCGGTGCCAATTATACCACAAATGCGTGCCGCGCGGCGGTGCCGGCCCCTAACACGGCTGAACTAGGTTTAGGGGGAGCTTCCTTTCCTCCCGGAACACACCTGCCCGGAAGCCCCCACCTACCTGACCAGCTGGACCCACTCAGGCAGGGTGGAAATGGCGCCACTACATCAATCTTTACCAACTGCACAATTTGATACCTGACACACGCCCTGCCGCCTGCTGAGCCCCGCCCGCTGGTAAGCGCCTGTGCATCTTGCCACCTCCCGCCTTGCGCCGCCCGGTGCAGCCGGCCGACGCACCAGCTGCCACTGGCTGAGCAAAATCACGTCGATATCACAGGCTCAATCGATCACGGTTGCAACAAAAAAAGCAAGACATTTGGCTGACGGCACCACAATGCTGGTAACCGAGCACGAATGAGAACAGCGCCCCCAGGCGGTGCTGCACTATCACATGCGCCGGCTGGGGAAGAAGCTTGAATCAATGAAAGCTTGTGGCAGTGTGGATGGGAAATTAGGTTTGGAGACATGAAAACAGATGACACCATCAAAAACTAAAAAGCTTGGATAAAGGAGCTGGGCTGGTGCTCATACGTTGAGGCTGCGGATGCCAGTTCTGGTGGTGCAGGTCACTCGCTTCTCACTCGTGTTGTTCGTACATGAATGACAGCCGCCGCTTCAGGCGCGCAGCATGCGGCGAGTCATCACAACCACCTCCTCTCCCTCGCCCTCGTCGTCGCCCTCGCCATCCTCTTCCACCGGCTCCTCCTCGAGCACCTCCTCAATCTCCTCCTCCTCCTCAGGCTGCTCCTCATCAACTACAATCTCCTCCTCAGCCACCTCCTCGTCCACCTCCTCATCCAGCACCTCCTCCTCACCCTCAATCTCGCCCTCAATCTCGGCGTCCTCCTCCTGCGAGGCCTCCTCCTCTGGCTCATCCTCGGCGTCGCCGCCCTCTTCCTCGTCCTCCGGGGGGGTGTCCACCTCAGCTGGGAACTCATCCAGGATGGGCTCTGCGGGCTCGCCAGTGCCTGGCGCCCCGCCCGGGTTGCCGCAGCCCAGCGCCTCGGGCGTCAGCTGCTGCAGTGGGATGGGGTTGCTCATCCAGGCCAGCAGCTGGCGGATGGTGATGAAGTAGACGCCCTCTCGCTGGGACACCTCGTCTGCATGGGTGCACAGGCAGGCAGGCAGGCTGAGCACAGCTCAACAGGTGATGGGGCAGGGCAGCGGGCGCAGGGGCTGTGGCTGCCACCGCTGCCACCATTAGCAGCAGCAAACATGCCGGCAGGCAGGCAGGCGCTGCGCACCGATGAAGGCCTCCACATCCCCCTTGTTGCCCTCCAGGTATTCGGAGTGGATGAAGAGCGGGAAGGGGGCGCGGTTGCCGTTGTAAGACTCCTCAAAGTTGGCCATCAGGGTGCCCAGCACGTTGCCGTTGGAGCCACCGCCGCCGTACGGGTCGCTGCGGGGCGGGCCGCGGGGTGGGGAGGGAGCGGGAGGGGAAGGGTAGGGTTCAGCTGGGGAGGCGGCAGCGGGGCTCGGGGGAAGACGCGGCATGTCGGGCAGCGAGCACCGGTGCGAGGAGGGCAGGGTGCAGCGTGCAGCTCACAGCTCAGCGTGCATGTCGGCCTGCCACGCGCCCAAGCCTGCCGCCGACAGCTTTCAGCTGTTGTGTTGCCAGCGTTTTGGCAGACCTGTGAGCGGCAGCTCAGGCAGCGGCAGCGGCAGCGGCAGCAGCGGCAGCGGCAGCATGCGGCGGCGGCTGCGTGTTGAGCCCACTCACTCTCCATAGTCCATGGTGAACGTGCCGCCGTATGCGCTGAGGTCCCAGAGCGGCACCTCCTTCAGGCCCGGGTAGGACCCACTACACTTCTGAGAGCTTTGGTACCTGCAGGCATGCACATGGCAGGCGCCACCCCTTGTGTGAGCCAGCGGCCTGTAATGTGGGCAGCAGCAGCAACGGTGGCGGCAGCATCAGGCAACACGCCAGGCATGCGCCGTGGCGACATCGGGGCGAGGCACGGAGGGGGAGGCGAGGCGGGCAGCCTGGCGCTGCGCAGCCCCGAAGCCGAAACCAGCCAGCCAGCTGAGGCGGGCCGCATCGCTGCTACCGCTGCCACTGCCGCTGCCTGCGCTGCCACTCACAGGTCGCAGTTCTGGGGGAAGCCCTCGCCCAGGTCCCAGGGCCACACGCGGTCGCCCATGCCGTTTGAGATGCTCTTGCCCTTGGTGTTCTCGATGAGGGAGCTGCAGGGGGGGAGATGGTGGGAGGGGGGAAGGGGGGAGGTTCAAGAATGGCTGGGCATGCAGGTGTGCCGCCACCACACACGTGCGCACACAGCCGCTCACCCAGCCACAACCCCCACCGCACACACACCAGCTCCACGCCACACCCCGCACGCACCTGTCGTACAGGAAGCCGTTCTCGCTCAGCACCTCCCACACCTCTGGCTTGATCTCCAGGAAAGGCGCACGCGCCCCCATCATCTCGCCGGCAGAGATGCCGATGCAGTCTGCCATCTGCTGGCGCCCGCCCACGATCTGCTCCGCGATCTCATCCTTGCTTTTGGGCAGGAACTGCAGGGACGGGTCAGGAGGTGGAGGGGCAGGGGGCAGGTGGAGGTCCAGCAGGGGCAGGGGGTGGGGCGGGCGCCAAGAGACCGACCCAAGGGCGCAGCCAGCCAGCCAGCAGCATCCAGGTGAAGCGCTGGGCAGGGCCGGTAAGGGCAGCAAGGGCAGCGGGGCGGGCCAGGGCTGGGCACACACACAAGACACGAAAGCAAGGCGCACCGAGTCATGTGTGATGGCGTGCACAGCCAGCTCATAGCCTTGGTTGTAGAGATCCTTGGCCTTGCTGCAGCCTGCAGGAAGGCAAGCAGGGAGGGAGCAGGCAGGGGATCACGCAGGCAGGCAGGCAGGTGTAGGGTCGGGCAGCGGGTCAAGAGAGCAGACACGCGGTGAGTCAGGCACAGGGAGCGGTGCTGCAAGACTTAGCAGCCTGCTGAGAATCTTTCCCTCAGCTGCGCCGCATCAGGGCCCCACTGCGGGCGCCCAGCATGCTGCGGGCCCGGTGTCCTGGGTCAGCTGCCGCACTCACTGTTGCCCTTGTCCAGCAGAAACATGGTGGCGGCAATGGGGCAGTTGTTGGCGACCTTGCCGGCGGTCAGGCCAGTCATCATGCCGTAGGTGGGGCCCTTGATGGCATCGTCGTGCTGCAGCGGGGCAGGGAAATCAGTTGTGGTTGCGTGTGTGTGTGTGTGTGTGTGTGTGCGCGCGCGCGCGCGACTGCATTTGTGTGGATTTTGCAGTGGTGAGGTGGCGGCAGGGGATGCGGCGGTGGAGATGCGGCGGCCGCATCACACAGGTGTAGGACGCCCGGATCAAGTGTGCGGTGTGCTTCTCAAGACCACAGCATCCCCTCACCGAGAGCAGGACGAACTGCGGGGTCTCCTCGCGGCTCAGGCCGCCAGGGGTGTTGGTGGACGCGCAAGCGGCTGCGCGGAAGCAGGCGGCGCAGTCAAGTTGCGAAGTCAAGCATGCCCCCTCCGAGACCGCCGCACGCTACCTGCCAATCCAGTGCTTGCTGCCGCCAGCTGCTGCAGCTCTGGCGGGCGATGCAAGGCCGACTGGGCTGCCGCGCCCCGCACCTCCACAGACGGCAGCCAGCAGCAGCGCTGCCACGAACAGCGACCTCATCGCCTCTAGCTCGTGCCTGGGTGTGGGAGAAGGAGCCAAAGCCGCAGCCTGCAGCACGCGAGGCGGAGGCGTGGGGGGTCGGTGCCGGCCTTCCAGGCTTGGATGGGGCCCTGCAGCCGGCTCCATTGTCTTGCTAGTGATAAACCTCGCCACGACCGCTGCGGGGTGCGCCAATTGCAGCGCCCTGCGGGAAGCCCCATGACATGCCGGCAGGGAATGTCCCCACCTTGTGCTAGGACCCCTAGTGAAGGCTAACAGCGTTTGAAAGATCTGCAGAGGGTGTCGATTGGGTGAGAATGGCGCGGCATGAGCGCTGGCCGGGTCTGCAAGGGGGACCAGTCCATGCGTCAGCCTGATCTGTACTGCAGGTCTGACTGATCAAAACGTGAATCTTGCGTGCCGGTTGCCGTGACAGGAGCAGGCACGAGAAATGGTGGGCTGGCCAGCCATCAAGACAACGGGATGCCCCGCCGCCCACAACCGCCGAGCGGTTGTGCTGGCGGCGCCGCCACTGCAGCATTTCATAAGTGTGGATGATCACACTCCTGAAGGCCACATCAGTTTACAGCTCCAGCCCTATTGTGTGATGTCCAGCGCGGCAAAGACGTCGCTGATGATATCGTTCGACATCACAAAGCCCTGGGGATCCGCCAGCCGCACATGCCGCACCGTGCCCCCAGCGCTGCCGCCGCTGCTGCTGCCGCTGCTGCTGGCGTTGCTGGCTACCGCCCAGCCACGCTCTACGTGTGGCCGCAGCGCAGCCGCCACCAGCGCGGCCGCCTCCTCGCCTTGTGGGTGCCGTGCAGCCAGCTGGGAGAGGTCCAGCCCGTCTGCCAGCCGCAGGCGCAGCATCACACTATCCAACAGCACTTCATCGGCGCTTTCGGGCGGCAGAAAGGCGCCGGGCACCCGCGGGCCCAGCTGCTCTGCATCTGCCGCAAACTGCTCCAGCCACTGCTTGTAGGCGTTCAGCCGCTTGGGGCGGCTGAAGCGGCGGCCCTGCTGGCAGAGAAGAGGGTGGGACGGCAACAGACTGGTGTCAGAGCTTGTGGCACCACAGATGGCAGCACAACGAACGCAGCTGGGGACGGGACTAGACACGGCGCGCTGCAGCTAGTGGCAGCCAGCACACAGCTGCCGGGCAACCGGCATCGCCCAGCAAGCTGGTGGCGGCCAATCAGGTGGGTGGCGCTGCCAGCTGCGCGCCCACGTGCCTGCAGGTAGGAGGCAGACCCCAGGCCCAGCCCGTAGAAAGCGCCCCCCTGCCAGTACACCATGTTGTGGCGGCAGCGGTGGCCCGGCAGCGCATAGTTGCTGACCTCGTAATGCTCAAACCCTGTATGGGTGGCATGCAGGCAGGAGAGGGAGAGGTGGGAACAGGGGATGGAGCCCTGGAGGACCGGTGCCAGGGCATTGGTGGTGGTGGGAGCACGGGATCCCATACTGAGAGCCAGGGAAGGCCACGGTGCTGGCGGGCTGGGGAGACGAGGGAAACGCAATAAACATATGTATTCTGTTGTGCGCCCACCAGCGCCCCGCAGCGTGTGGCTCGCTTGGCAGTACATGTCCGCCGCCGCGTCGTCGCTGGGGAGCGGCGCCTCTCCTGGCCAGTACCGCTTGGCAAATGGCGTGTGCTCCTCCACCTGCCGGGAATCAGCCGCACGGGGGGGCGGGGGGGAGGGTGGCAACGAGTAAGAGGGGCAGGCCCGACAGGCCCGTTCGGCCCTGCGGCAAAGCAGGCGGCATTCACGGCGCACGGCAGGTGACACGAGCGTGGCACCACCACCTCCCAGCAGCCACAGCCGTCCTTCACCTGCAGGTCGTAGGTTGAGATGTGGTGCGGCGCCGCATCCAAGGCCTGCTCCAGCGACCGCTGCCACAGCTCCTGCGTGAGCTGCGGCAGCCCCGACATGAGGTCCAGGCTCCAGGAGGGCACGCCGGCCGCGTGCACTGCCTCTATGGCGCGGTACACGTCCGCCGCGTCATGCGCCCGCCCGCACAGCGCCAGCAGCTCGTCCTGGAACGACTGCAGGCAAACAGGCGGCGGGCGTAGCGGGAAAAGGGTGAGGGCAGGGGACAGACGGGGAGAGGTTTGTGAGCAGCCAGGGGCAGCGTGGGTCAACAGCCAGAAGCAGCTTGGTGGCCATCCCCCTTCCGCTCCACTCCGCACCAGGTCAACTTCTGCACCAACCCGGCGCCAGTGCCGTGCCCAGCCGCCAAGTGGCCTACCCAGCCCACCCTAGCCAACCCACCTGCACGCCCACGCTGACCCGGGTGACCCCCATCCCCATGTAGCTGCGCAGGCGGGCGGCATCAAAGGTGCCTGGGTCAGCCTCAATCGACACCTCTGCTCCCGCCGCCAGCCCAAACCGCTGGTCCAGCGCCGCTAGCAGCTGCTCCAGCAGCGGCAGCGAGATGAGGGAGGGGGTGCCTGCGGCGGCGGGCAGCACATGAGGGTGGCCGCAGCGGCAGTCAAGCTTCAGCTTTCAGACAGCGGCAGCATGAGGCAGCTGGGATGCGCCACCCAGAACGGCAACAGCCCAGAGCCCGAGCCGCAGCGGCAGCAGCCACGGAAGCAGGCGCAGGCGCAGCCCACCTCCCCCAAAGAAAACCGACTGCAGGGGCTCGCTGTTCAGGCGCTGGCTGGCCTCTATCTCCTGAACCACCATCTCCACATACCGCTGCATGTTGTCCTGCACACAGGGCAGCAGAACTGGTGTGCTCACATGAGTCATGTCGTGGCCGCCCTCGCCTACCGCCGCACACGTAGAGCACAAGGCCGAGCACCGCTGGCCAGCAGCAGGCACCGACCTGCACGTGCGGCGTCCCTGCCAGGTCCTTGCCCACCGCAATGACGGGGAAGTCACAATAGGAGCACTTGCGCTGCGGCAACACACACCAGCGGGAACGGCGTCAGCGGAGCAGCTTGGAGGCAGGAGGGCTGTGCGGGCCTGCCTGCTGCCTGTGATGTGCTGGCGGCGGCACTGCTGCAGCGGCCACAGCTGCTGGCCGCAAAGCTGCAGCCTCCACTCACCTTGCAGAAGGGCAGGTGAACATAGGCAGCAGAGGGCGCCTCAGCGTCGTCAGCTGCCCCCGCCTCCTGCCCTGCCGCCGCTGCCGCCTCGGCCGCGGCGCTCACCGCACGCATGCAGCCTCCCTCGCCATGTTGACGCCTGGAGGCAGCTACGCGCAGCCAAGCCGGAGTGGCGGCATCTGCCGTGGCCCTGCACTCAACGAGTAGAGCGGCAGGCGGCGGCAGCTGGTTAAGAGTGGCCAGCCGACGCAGCGCGGCAAGCACGCATGCCACTCAACACGAGTGCTATCATCGTTCCACGCACCTGCAGGCCCGCCAGCTGAAGCCAACGCCGAGACTGGTCATGGTGCCGGCAGCATGCGCTGCCAAAAGGGCCAACCTACAACTGAATACGCGTGGATTGCACTGCGTGATTGAGTGGATGCAGCCGCTAGGTTAGGGCTCGAGCATTTCATGCCTAGCTGGCGCCCCGCCCAGCAGGCGGCGGCAGGGCTTTGAGACAGCGACAGCGGCGGATGACTGCCGGGGTGGGAGCAGGTTGCAACAGTGCTGCCATTCTCTCAATAAAAAACACTATTGGGCAATGCTTGTGCAAAGGACGGTAGCACGCACAGTCTCTTCAGCTCCCGTCTCTTCAGCTCTGCCGCTGCGTGGTCTTCCACGCTTTCGGTCCCAGCAGCCCACAGCGCTGGCCAGGCCAGCACCGCTTTCCAGCTGTGGCTAGAGGAGGCCGCCAAGCTCATCCGTCCTTCTTGGCGTACCGCTTGAAGTCGGCCATGTAGGGCGCAAACACCGCCGTCGCAAACGCCATCAGGTTGTAGTCCACGAGCTGCGGTGCAAGCCAGCGGGCAAGCCAGCAACAAGCAGTGGTTCATGGCTGGCTGGGCAGGCAGCAGCGGGACGTCCGACAACCCCTCCCATGCATCCCATGCCACTGAAGTAACCCAGCCCAAGACACCTTGCCCCCCAACACACACAAACACACCTTCATGAGCAGGCGGAAGCAGATAGCAGTGGGCCCCACGTCGCGCCACACCATGCGGCCGATGGACGCAAACACTGCAGTGCACAGCCCAGCAAAGGCGACATGTTTGGCGCCCGCGCATGCCAGGGCCTCCCTGATGGCACGACGGCCCACCTCTCGCCCTTCCACATCAACACGCACACACACGTGCAAAGCACACACACACGCAACCCCCATCACACACACACACACGGCGTGAAACTTGGGTACCCCACCCCACCACCCACCCGTGTCTGGCAGCTCCTCTGGGTCAACCGCAAACTTCTTAAAGAACTCCATAGCGTCCAGCTTGTGGGCCTGCAGCAGAGGAGTGATGTGGTGTGGTGTGTCTCTGCATGCTGGTGGGCTGTTGCATAGCGAGGGAGGCACAGGGCAGATGGACTTGGGAGGAGGCATAGCCAGCACGCCCAGGCTGCGAGGCATGCTCGAGGGGTGAACCAGCGAGCGGGGCCTGTGCCCTCCTGCCCTGCCTGCTGGTGGGTAGGGTACGTGGCAAGGCAGCGGCAGAAGGCTTGCCTTGTCGTAGAAGCGGGTGGCCACGGGGGAGGGGTGAAAGACAAGCACGTCGATGCCGTGCGGCCGCACCTCGGCCGCCAGCGAGGCGCCAAAGGCTGCAGGGGCCAGGGGCGAGGGTGTGTGCATGGGTAGGCGGGTAGGTGGCTGGCAGCGCAGCCTGGCGGCCGGGCAGCCTGCTCTGCTTGGCGCCTGCTGGGCCGGACTGCGCTTGTTGGGTTTTTCATTGAGGAGCTGGACAAGGCAGGGCGGGGCTTGCTTGCTTGCTTGCTGGCTGGAAGCTGACCCGAAAGGAATGACTTGGTCGAGGCGTAGAGTACGCTGAAGGGGTTGGGGATCATGGCGGCGGCTGCGGGCAGGCGGCAGGCACAGGGGAGCGGGCTGGGCACGCGAGGCAGGTGCCTGGGGCAGACCTGGCACCGCGGCGCTGCCTGCACACTGCGCTGCACACTGCAACCCTGGGGCCGCCAAAACCACCACCACAACAACAACGACAGTACCGCCACAACAAACACCAGCCTTGCACCCACCCGAGCTGGTGTACACAAAGCAGCCGCGCAGCTTCTTGGCGCGCATGCGGCCCAGCAGCAGGTGTGTGACCTGCACCGCGCTGACGGCGTTGCACTCCAGGTTGCACATCTGCTGGTCGGCGGGCCTGCAGGGGTTGCACGGGGAGCGACAGGGAGGGAGGGGGGATGGAGGACAAAGGGTGGGGGGCGGGGCAAGCAGGCGGCAGCTGTGTGGGGCATCCACTGTCGACCAGGGGCATCCCTGCTGAGTGGACGCCGGATGTGCCCGCCTCCGACAAAGCCCCCACCACCGCACCACCACCTCCAGACAGCAGCAAAAAGGAAGGCCCCGGCAGCAGCCCAGCCCCACACCACTCACACGTCCACAAAGAAGCCGGTGAGCACGTAGCCAGCGTTGCAGAACACCACCTGGATGTCGATGTCGCGCGTCTGCTTGGCGATCGCGTCCATGTAGCCGGGCTTGCCCAGGTTGACGCCCACCTGGGAAAAGCAAGGCGACAGGACATGGCAGTTGCCGACGGGAGGACCGCAGGGAGCGAGGGAGGGTGGAGGCAGGGCATGGAACCAGGGAGGCAGGGAGGCCATGGGAGCATCGCCGGCTCGGCACGGCTGGCAAAGGGCAGAAGCGGGTCTGTGCCCATCGCCAGCGCTGTACCTTTCTGAAGGTGACCCGCGGGTACTGCTCGCTCAGCTCCTTGTGTGTGGCATCCAGCAGGTCATCCCCCAGAGCCACCAGCACCACGCTCAGGCCCTGCCCGGCCAGCTTGCGTGCGATCGACTTGCCGATGCCTGCATATAGAGGGCGGCAGCGGGTGAGGTTAAGGCATGCAGGGCAGCATGCGCGCCATGTCTCGGAGAGGCAGGAGGCAAGCCATGATGGCTGGTTGCTGCCGGCACGGAGGTTGGCGGCGGGTACTGCCGCCAGTGCCTGTGGCCAGGACGCCCACCGCTGCTGGCGCCGGTGACCAGCGCCCACTCTGCATTGTAGGCCTTCTTCAGGTTCTTGGTCTTGTAGAACCAGGCCACGATGAAGTGGGGAATGGCGTAGGCCAGGAAGATGAAAAGGAGGGCGCCGGTGGCGATCGCTCCGATCATGGCTGCACCAACCGATCGCCGATTGCCTCAGGGGGCGGCTGCCGCGCCAGGTAAACGAGCGATGGGCACCGGTGATGAGCGCCGATGGCGTGCACCGCTCCGTCTGAGACAATTTGAGGGACTGCGGGTGACAACCCAATGCACCATGCCCTCCGGGGGGCTTACCGACAGCACATCGAGGAGGTGTACACTTGGGCCCGCCCAAGTGTACCTGCCGGCTGCCCATTGACGTCAGAGAGGCACCCTGCGCCCATGCATTGCAGATTGCCAATTGGGCACGGCCTGCCGATCACACGGCCTACCGAGACACATGCTCGTGTCCCGTGCTCGGTGTTGAGAGCTCGGGGGTGCAAGAATGGGCAGCGGGCAGGCGCTTAGTGATGGGAGCCAGGCCTTGGAGGCACGCGCCAGCTGCCCACCTACCCGCTGCCGCCCGCCCGAGGCCGCCCGCCAAGCCGGACTTGCTGTTCTGGCACCCCCGTGCCCTTGGAGAGCAGAGTGCATTGAATGACTTTCTGACCTGGATCCGGCCACCTGCTGCTTGCAGGTGCCACGCCTCACAGGCATGCTGCGTGCCGCCCTGGGCACTGCGCCTGGCGGCAGCGGCAGCGGCAGAAGCCGAGGCGGCGGCAGCGCCAGCGCCAGCGCTTCGGTGTTGCAGCTGCCCGACCTGCAGCACCTGCTGCAGCAGCGCAACCAGCTGCTGCAGGAGCGACGGCAGGAGCGGGCAGACATGCAGGTGGGAGCCGACCGCACCCCTGATCCTGACGCTCCACGCCAGGCCGCATGCCTGCTCGCGTGCCTTGTTCGCACCAAGCACGGCTGCGCTGCCGCTGCTGCCGCCCCGTTCCTGCGCAGGTGTCCAGAGCCCGCTCCCAGCTCGTGTCTGCGGTGCTGGGCAGCTGGTCAGGTGCCCCCAAGGCAGCCCGGGAGGACTTTGAGAAGTACATGAGAGCCGTGGCGCAGCTGCTGGGCGGGGAGGCCAGCAGCGAGGAGGTGGCGGCGGCGGCGGGGGTGGCCTGGCAGGCCCTGCGCGCTCACCCGCCAGACCTGGACCGCGGGCGCGCCCCGCTGGCGGCGCTGCAGAAGGCCAGGTGCAACCTGAGCTGGCAGTCTGGCTGGCTTGGGGTGCCTGCTGCTGTTTGCTGGGAAGGTGCCTGTGCTTTCTGCGCGTCTAGCCTCCAAAGGCCATTGCTGACTTGCTCTGCGAGGGATGCAGGAGGGAACTCGAGGGGGAGCTGGGCAGGGTGGAGGATGCGGCTCTGCTGCACCTGTCCAAGCAGCAGCAGGCGCTGCTGCGCTGGCAGCAGCAGCTCAACCCAACGCAGCAGGGGGGCAAGCTGGGTGTGGATGGCGGCGACGACGGCAAGCTGGGGCCTCGGGCGGAGCACGACTTGCCCGCTGTGCCTGCCATGTCAGCTGAAGAGGCTGTGCTGGCGCTGTGCGGCGTCACGCCTGATGTGGCTGCCGAGGCCTATGCCGCAGCCGTCGGTGGCGCCGACGGCGGCGCAGCTGCGGCCTCTGCCGCCGCTTTTGCGGCGGCGCTTGCACCAAAGCCGTCTGCGCCTCGGGTGGCCACGGCTGCGGAGCAGGCTGCTGTGGAGGCGGATGTGTTTGGGGCCAAGGGGCGGGTGCTGAATGCAGAGGCAGGCGCCCGCTGGCTGCTGCAGTGGTGCCAGCGGGTCACGGGCGCCAGCGACGGCGATGACACCGTCGCCACCGCCGTCTGCCGCACGCTGCTGTCTGGTGAGCCCGACACGCCAGCCCTGCCTGCACCGCCGCTGTGCCTGGCTGGTCCCTGCCGCTGCCCGGCTCTCTCCCTTTCATCGCGGCTCTCCTGCCCTGCTGTCCACATAACCCAGCATGCTCAGCAGCTGCCCTGTACTGCGCCGTGGATCCCACGCTCCCGAGCAGGCCGCAGCGACGACGAGCTGGCCGCCGAGCTGTTCGATTTGATGGGTGATGCGGTCTTTGAGCACATTGGCGACCTGCTCCAGCAGCGCGCCTCCATCGCCGCCAATGTGCGGCGGGTGGTGTCGGGGATGCGGGAGGCGGAGGAGGCGGACAAGGCGGCGGCGGCCATGCCCAGCTATGGCAGTACCGTCACTGTCATGTCCGAGTCACAGGCGAGCGAGGGGCAAACTGGCGCTGCTGATGCTCTTGTCCGGTACCACCACCTGTACCGCAGTCGATCTTGTGTTGGCATGTACCACTCCTTTGCCGCAGAAACTGATGCACAAGCTGGAGCGCAAGGCGCAGCGGCGGGCGGGCGCCAAGGGCGGCGCCAGCGCCGCAGCGGCGGCAGAACCAGGGGATGCCGATGCCGACTGGGTCAGGTGCAGTGGGGAGCGGGACTGCTTTACCGCAAGCAAGCAAGCACAGCTGCCGCTCATCAAGAGTCTGCATCTGCCAGTCTTGCTGTCGTGCTGAAGCTATGCCCCGCCCCTGTGTGTGCCTGCTCTCGCCTGGTGCAGCGCCTACGGCCTGCTGCTGGTGGTGGAGGAGGAGATGGAGCGGGAGACGGCGCACACGCGGCTCAAGTGCGCCCCGCCTGGCCTGGCCTGCTTGCCTGCTGGGATCTCTGCTTGTCCTGCTTGGTTCAGGGAGTGACCATCCGCGCAGCAGGGGAGCATCCCCGCCAGCGCACTTGCCCTACACCTATCCACGCGCCCGCCTGCCTGCAGCCTGGGGAATGGAGTGGAGTTTCGGATCGGCGATGGCGACGGGCTGATGGCGCGCGGCACGCTCCCCAAGGGCACGCAGCGCAAGTGCGCCCCGCCTGCTGCCCTCCCCTGTGCCGCTGTGGCGCTGCCGGGCTTGCCTCGCTGGCGCTGTTCGCCGCCGGAGTGCACGCGCCTGCTGCGCCTGCTGTTCCTGCTGACCCCTGCGGCCCTGCCGTGCCCGCCACCCCTCCTGCTGCCCGGCAGGACATACAAGGGGTATGAGGAGGTGCTCGTGCCGGCGGTGAAGCCCGCAGCGCCGCCGCCTGGGGAGCACCTTGTCAAGGTGGGGGCGCAGGCAGGGGCGGGAGGCAGCCTGCTGCTGGTGGCCGTGATGGTGCAGGCCCTGCCGACGAAGCGTTGGAGTAGCGCGAGGTGGAGCCAATCATGCGCCTCAGAACTGCCACAAACCCTGCGCAGATTGAGGAGCTGCCTGAGTGGGCGCAGCTGGCATTCAGCGGCTACAAGACCCTGAACCGCATCCAGAGCCGCATCTTCCAGGCCGCCTTCTACAGCAACGAAAACATGCTGGTCTGCGCGCCCACAGGTGCGGCCGGCGTGCCAGGCAGAAAGGAGGTGGGGGGAGGGCTGGTTGGTTGGCCTGCGGGCGGGTGGCTGGTGGCTGGCAGGCTGGTGCGGCGCACCTGCTGCCGCACCGCCTCCCTGTGACTGCCCCCTTCCTCTGATGGCCCCTTGCATTCTTGCCCCGTCGCCCTCCTCAGGCGCGGGCAAGACCAACATCGCCATGCTGAGCGTGCTGCGCGAGGTGGGCGCCAACATGTCGCACGGCGTGATCAGCAAGGCAGACTTCAAGGTGGTGTATGTGGCGCCCATGAAGGTGAGCCGTGAGTGGCCCTACTGCCAGCCAGCCAGCCAGCCTACCTGCCACCAGCCAGGCGCGCGGCAATTTTCCACCACAGTGGCAATTTTCCACCCCTCCCATTATGGCCTGCCACTTGTTGTGGTGCAGGCGCTGGCCGCTGAGATGGCTGCCAGCTTTGGCAAGCGCCTGCAGCCCCTGGGTGAGTGCATAGCTTGCTGGGCCAGCGACAGCCCCAGGCTGATTCATGTGCAGCTCTACTGGAGGGACCTCAACTGCTGCCCAAAAGCATGCGGCCCTGGCCATGACCTGGTGCTGTGTTGCCTGCGTCTGTGGTGCAGGGCTGTCTGTGCGGGAGCTGACTGGCGACATGCAGCTGAGCAAGAAGGAGCTGGCGGAGACGCAGGCAAGGGCCGGCCTGCGTTGCTCGCCTTTCCTGCACCGTCCAAGGCCGTGCCTTGCCATGCGGGCGCTGACGTGGCGCGTGCCTGCTGCCCTGCAGATGATTGTGACCACTCCCGAAAAGTGGGATGTGATCACGCGCAAGGGTGGCGAGGTGAGCTGCGGCGCGCCCGCCGGTGCCTCCCCACCTCCCCGCCTCGCCTTCCCCTGCCCTCCCCACCTCTCCTGCATGCTGACTCTGACCCTCTGACCCTTCAGTGCCCTTTGCCCTGGTCCCTCTGCTCTTGCCTCGGCGCAACCCGGCAGGTCAGCGTGGCCGCCATCGTGCGGCTGCTGATTATCGATGAGGTGCACCTGCTGAATGATGAGCGGGGGCCGGTCATAGAGACGCTGGTGGCTCGCACCACGCGCCAGGTGGGACCGGCACGGGCGCCAAGTGTGGGAGGGGGTGTGGTGTGCTTGGAGGCGAGCCCTTCCTTCGCTACCGGCACCTGCTGGGGGCTGCGCCTGACAGCGCCTCCGCCTGCTGGCCTGTGCCCCTGGGCAGGTGGAAAGCAGCCAGAGCATGATCCGCATCGTGGGGCTGTCGGCCACCCTGCCCAACTACCGGGATGTGGGGCGCTTCCTTGGGGTCAACTCGGAGAGCGGTGAGGGTTGGGGTGTGGTGGATTGGGTGCAACGCAGCGTAAGGGAGGGAGCACAGCAGTTGTGGGAGACCAAGCTGCGCTGTGTGCCGGCCTGGCCAGGCCTGGGCTGGACTGACGTGTCCGAGGTGCCGGGACTTTAGGTGCTGCCCCAACATCACACGCTCACACTTCCCCGCCCCTCCACCCATCCAAACCCCACTGGACCCCCGGCTGCACCGCAGGCCTGTTCCACTTTGACGCATCGTACCGCCCCGTACCGCTGGAGATGCAGTTTGTGGGGTTCAGCGAGCGTAACATGATGGCCCGCCTGAACGCCATGGACGAGGTGTGCTACCAGAAGGTCACCGATTCCCTCAAGAAGGGCTTCCAGGCCATGGTGTTCGTGCACAGGTGGGCTGGGGGGTGGGGTGGGTGGGGGCGTGGTTTCTGATCACTCAGATGGAACAAATGGGCAGATTGGTGTGTAGCGCAGGGCTGCCGCCATCCTGGCTCCAGCCGCCGCGGCGGTCGGCTACCCGTGCCCCCTCCGCCGCTGCCTGCACCAACGCGCTGCTGGCGTGGCCCCCCCACTGCTGCAGCCGCAAGGACACGGGCAAGACGGCCCGCATGCTGGCGCTCAAGGCACAGCAGAACGGGGAGCAGAGCCTGTTCGACTGCACCCTGGAGGAGGTGCGGGGGCAACGGTGCTGTGGGCTGTTGGCTTGGCTGTGAGCTGCTGGATGCTGCAAAAGGGTGGACCAGAGGAGGCCGGGACGGCACATCGCCTGACGCAGAGCGGTCCAGCTGCTTGCGGCTCCTGGCAGGCAACCGCGCACCGCGTGCCTGCGCCTGCCCCCCTGTCCCTGCAGGCCTTCCCCTACCTGCAGAGGGACATGAAGAAGTCGCAGAACCGGGAGATTGGGGAGCTGTTTGACGCAGGTGGGTGGCCTGAGCAGTCATGTGCTGTATCGTTGTGACGCGGGTGGGTGGACAGGTCGCCGCCTTCGCGGCAGAAGCTGCGTTCGTGTGGGTGTTCCGTGTGCTGCCTTTCTGCCTGGCTGCAGCAGCGGCGGCAGGAGAGGAGCTTCTCCCGCTGCTGCTTTCCTGTGCTAGCCTCACGGAGCCCCGCCTGCCTGCCCGCCTGCCTGCCTTGCACTTCCTTTCCTCCCTGGTGCCGCGGTGCAGGGCTGGGCATCCACCACGCGGGCATGGTGCGGTCGGACCGGAACCTCATGGAGCGAGCCTTTGGGCAGGGGCTCATCAAGGTCAGCTGCCCTGTTTCCAGCTCACCTGGCCTGCTGTGCCCTCACCTGCCCCCGTGCTGGCGTCTGACCCCACCCCCCACCCCAACCAACCCAACCCCTACCCTCCCACGCACGCCTGCGCCCTGCCGCGCAGGTGCTGTGCTGCACCGCCACTCTGGCCTGGGGCGTCAACCTGCCCGCCCACACCGTGATCATCAAGGGCACGCAGCTGTACAGCCCGCAGAAGGGAGGGTTCACAGACCTGGGTGAGAGAGTGAGGGGGAAGGGCAGGCGGGGCCAGGCCGGGGAGGGGCAGGCGTGAGAAGCAGTATGCAGGAGGGGACCATGGGAGGCAGCCTGCAAGGCAGCGGGCTGCGCGCACAGTGCGGCTTGCTGTCTTGCTGCACTGAGCCGCTCCCCGCTGCTCGCCCGGCCCTGCCAGGCATGCTGGACGTGCAGCAGGTTTTCGGGCGGGCAGGACGGCCGCAGTTCCAAGACACCGGCGAAGGTACTGCATGCTGGTCCTCTGGTACTGCTGCTCCGGCAGCCGTCATCCCGTTTGTCTGATCTCTGTGCCCCACTGCTTGCTGGGAGCGGCCCCACCCCCTTGGATAATGAATTTCATACTGACCCCCCCGACTTCACTCCCGTCCCCACTGCTGCACTTCGCCCCTTGCCTCCTCCCCACCCACCCCACCCAGGCATCATCCTCACCACCCACGACAAGCTGGCGCACTACCTGAGCATGCTGACGCACCAGGTGCCCATCGAGAGCCAATTCACTGCGGGACTGGTGGACCACCTGAATGCCGAGATTGTGCTGGGCACGGTGAGGGAGGGCAGGGAGGGAGGGAGGGAGGGGGAGCAAGGGGGAGACATAGATGGTGGTGGAAGTGATGGTTGTGGTTGCGGTGGTGCGCGAGCGGCAATGTGGCGGGGCCCTGCGCCTGGCTGCTGCAGGTGACGAATGTGCGCGAGGCGAGCAAGTGGCTGTCATACACGTACCTGTACACACGCATGACACAGGTGGGTGGGGCGTGGGGATGTACGTGTGTGTGCGTGTGTGGCTCTGGTGGTAGCAGCTCGGCCTGCCATGACTCTGTCTCTCTCCGCTTACTCCGCCCCATCCCCCCACCACCGCCTGCCCTTGCACCCGCAGAACCCTCTGGCATATGGCATCGCCTGGGAGGAACTGTCGGCGGATCCTCCCCTGGAGGGGCACAGGTGCGCAGGAAGGGACCCCTGCCTGCCTCCCGCTGCACCTCCCCCTTGCCCCACCTCTCGCTCCCACTCCTCTCACACACACACTCGTCGCCCCCACACCTCGTCATCCATGCACACATCCGCCACCACACGCGCTGCCCATGCCCCCCCCCCCACCCCGCAGACGCAAGCTGATCACGGAGGCTGCGCGGGAGCTGGAACGCAGCAAGATGGCCCGCTTCGACGAGCGTTCGGGCAACCTGTATGTCACAGGTATGCCTGTGTACAGTGCATGGCGCAATGCGGCGGCTATGGTCGTAGGCAGGGAGGTGGCATGGACGGGGAGGTGGAGCAGAGGTTGAAGGCAGATCGACCCAGGAGGCTCGGGGTTCCACTCCATGTTGCTGCCGCGTGCTCTCTGGCTGCGCCACTTGTGAGGAAGTCCACCGCGCCTCTCACCTGCAGAGCTGGGGCGCGTGGCCTCCCACTACTACATCCGCCACTCCTCCATCCTCGTCTTCAACGAGCACCTGCGCCCGCACATGGGGGAGGCAGATGTGCTGTCCATGATTGCGCAGAGCTCTGGTGGGGTGGGGCGTTGATGGTGGTGGTGGGGTGTGCGCCTGTGTGTGCGTGGGAAGTGAGGGATGGACCGGAGCGGGCCCCACCTGCCGCCCTGAGTGCGGTGGTGCTCGTCAGCATGCCCCGCGCCACTGCCCCGCCACTGCCCGCCCACACACCCGTCCCCACCCCTGGTGCCACAGAGTTTGAGAACCTGGCGGTACGGGATGAGGAGCTGCCCGAGCTGGATACCTTGGTACGGGAGGTGTGCCCCTACGAAGTCAAGGGCGGTGGAGACAACAAGCGCGGCAAGGCCAACGTGCTGCTGCAGGTGGGTGGGCGGGTGGGACAGGGGGGAGGCTAAGGGGTACAGACCCGTGGCTGACACCTTGCCAAACATAGCCTGCGACGCCTGCTGCCGGTATCGGCTGTACAGCTGACAGTTTGTGCCCCCTCCCCTCACCATCCCACTGCCTGCCTGCCACCTCCAGGCCTACATCAGCCGCGCGCGGGTCGAGTCCTTCAGCCTCACAGCAGACCTCATGTACGTCTCCTCCAACGCCCCCCGCATCTCCCGGGCTCTGTTCGAGATCTGCTTGCGCCGAGGCTGGTCCAGCGCGACTGAGCTGTGCCTCACCATGAGCAAGGTGGGGCTGCTGACTGAAGGGCAGCGCCAGCATCAGTAGGGAGCTTGGACTCGCCACCTCGCTGTGTTGCGTTGGCATTGCACCTGCTTCCTCTCGTGTGTGTTGCTGCTGCCGTGTGTTCCACCGTGCCGTGCACGCATGCCCATGCGGTGATGGTGCCTGCCCTGCAGGCCTTTGAGCTGCGCCTGTGGCCCGAGCAGCACCCCCTGCGCCAGTTCGAGCAGCAGCTGAGGCACGAGCTGCTGCGCAAGCTGGAGGACCGCCAGATCAGCCTGGACATGCTGGCGGTGAGGCTGAGCTGGCAAGGGTGCAGTCTGTGGGTCAAAGGGCCGAGTTGAGGAATGGATGAGCCGGAGAGTGCCTGTGCCGCCCTGTTTCTGGATGGGGCCCCGTGCCTCCATCTTTCTCATTGCATGTTGCCATGACCCAGTTGCCATGACCCAGTTGCCATCCACCCAGCCATTATCGCCACCTACCCACCCGCAGGACATGGAGCCCCGGGAGATAGGCAGCATGCTGCACCACCCTGCCGCCGGCAACCAGATTGCCACCTGCGTGCAGAGTTTCCCCTACCTCCAGGCAAGGCCAGGGGAGAGTGACCCTGACCAGGCAGTTCCACACGCACATGCCTGCTGCAAGGCTGGCAGGGCTCAAGCTGATGTGTCCTTGTTGCTGCCCAGCAAACACGTGAACCATGTGGCATGACCGAGGTGTTGTGCACGCTGATGCAGCTGGAGGCTCAGCTGCACCCCATCACCCGCACCGTGCTGCGCATCCAGCTCACCATCACCCCTAGCTTCACCTGGAAGGACGGGTGGGTGCCCGAGGGGTGGGGGCTGGTTTGAGGCATGGGGTGGCCAGCTGTTGGCTGCTGCCAGCGGCTGTGTTGCCAAAGTTCCTGCCCGCGACTCGGCCAGCCACACATATCCTACCACCACCCCCTCATCACCCCACCACAGTCACTGATTGCTCCCTCCTCTGCGCCCCCGCCCCGCAGAGTGCACGGCAACGCGCTCAAGTGGCTGCTGTGGGTGGAGGATTCCGACAACGAACATATCTACCACAGCGGTGGGCGTGCCTGCCACTGGCTGCGACCGGCTGGCGCTGCTGCCTGGGCCACCACTGCTTGGGGGTCTCACCCCGCCTCCACCACCTACCCTTACGGGCAGAGCAACGGCCTGATGCTGCGCCTTGCCATACGCCTGGTCGGGCCTCACGCTGTGCGGACTGTGCCACGTCATGCCCGTGCTGTGCACGCTGTGCCCTGCGCAGAGACCTGGATCCTGACCAAGAAGATGATGCGGGAGGGGGAGCAGCGGGTGGCCTTCACTGTGCCCATCTTTGAGCCGCTGCCCTCTCAGTACTACATTCGCGTGGTGTCAGACCAGGTGGGGGGCTGGGCTGGACAGGCAGGCGCCGAAACTGGTGTATGTGTGTGAGGGGGAGCCTTGGTGGGTGGCTGGCTGGCTGGGGCAGCCGGGCAAGTGCCACGCCGGATTTATTTGCGGGCAGGCGGGTGCAGGAACGTGCAGGCAAGCTGGCAAAGCAGCTAAGGTCGAGGGCTGCCGCTCACTTACCGGCATTCGTTGCATGCCGCTGACACGCTTTGCCTGCTGCGCGCCTGCATCACTGCAGTGGCTGGGCGCCGAGGCCCTGCTGCCTGTGAGCTTCAAGGGCCTCATCCTGCCGGAGCGCCACCCGCCCCACACAGGTGTGTGTGCGGCTGCCGCCTGTTTGGTTCCAGCAGCAGCAGCTGCGATCTTGGGGTCGCTTGGTGCCAAAGGCCATGGGTGCCTCCTGCTCTCCCCTGCCCTCTCCTCGCTCTCTCCGGCGCACCCCACCTTCCCTGGTAATCCTCCTTCTCTCCCGCTGCTGCTGCCCATCGCCCCTCCCTGCCCCCTTGCCTGCAGAGCTCCTTGACCTGGACCCGCTGCCCGTCAGCGCCCTGGGAAACCCCGCATACGAGGCGCTGTACAAGTTTTCCCACTTTAACCCCATCCAGACGCAAGTGAGAGTGTGGGTAGCCGGGTGGGTGTGGGGCAGGAGCAGGGGACTCGCGGGGCACGGCAAGCAGGTGCAGGCCGGAGCAACAGCGCGGTGGTGGGACCGTGGTGCCCCACCACTTGCATCAGCACATGCACACCAACCCTTTCCTCCCCTCCTCCCGCCCTGACAGGCCTTCCACACGCTGTACCACACCGACCACCCCGTGCTGCTGGGCGCCCCCACAGGCTCCGGCAAGACCATCTCAGCCGAGCTGGCCATGCTGCGCCTCTTCTCCCAGCACCCGGGACAGAAGGTGCGTGGTGATGACGGCGGCGGCGGCGGCAGTGCGTTGTCCACTGCTGGCCGCTCCACCTGTTTGCAGCGTGTACCCTGCCCCGCATCTGGCGCCGCTCGCCCTCACCGGCACGGCCACCCCTTCCTGCCTCCCTCCCTCCCTCCCTCACCACCACACATGCGCACATGCTCCACAGGTCATCTACGTGGCGCCCCTCAAGGCCCTGGTGCGGGAGAGGATCAAGGACTGGGGCGCGGGCTTCTGCCGGGCGCTGGGCAAGCGGCTGGTGGAGCTGACCGGTGACTATACGCCAGACATGGTGGGTGGGCTGGGGCGGGGCCGGTGGACGTGGTTGTGATGGCGGGTGGATGTGTGGCGCTGGGATGGCGAGACGGGGGGCAGCCTGCGCGAGGCGTAAAGTGCGGCTGTAGTGCAGCAGGGCTGGACTGCGCCGAGGGCTGCGCCAACGCCTCGCCCCCCTGCCACCCTCTGCCTGCCCCGCAGCACGCCCTGCTGGCCGCGGACGTCATCATCTGCACCCCCGAGAAGTGGGACGGCATCTCCCGCAACTGGCGCAGCCGGTCGTACGTCCGCAAGGTGGGCTGCCCGCCCAAGAGGCGATGCCAGGCCTGCCGGCTTGTTAACAAGGGTGGAGAGGTGGCGGGAGGGGCACGAGTGTGCACGGTGGGGCTTGTCTCTGTGTGACACGCCGAGCCCTTTGCCCACTGGGCATGCTGTGCCACCTGTCGGGTGCCCGCACGCCTGGCACCTCGCCCGCCACCGACTCGGCACGCCTGCGCCGCCTGCTCCAGGTGGGACTGCTGGTGATTGACGAGATTCACCTGCTGGGTGCGGACCGGGGTCCCATCCTGGAGGTCATCGTGTCGCGCATGCGCTACATCGCGGCTCAGGTGGGTGGGCCGGGGTGGGGCGTGTCGGGAGGCGGGTGGGTTGGATTGCTCTGGGTTGGAGTGCCAAGCCAAGCACCCCAGCTGCTCCCTGCTCCCCTTCCTATTGCTCCTCCCTGTCGGCCCCGTGGCACCACCGCTTTATCCCACCCCTCAACCTCCAACATCCCCATCCCTGCTCCCTTCTGTGCAGACCGAGCGGGCCATCCGTTTTGTGGGACTATCCACCGCCCTAGCCAACGCTCAGGACTTGGCAGACTGGCTTGGCATCACGGGGCCGGTGCGCAGCCGCTGGCGCTGCTTCCGTCGCTGCCACGAGCGGCGCCGTCGCTGTTGCTGGTGACGCTTGGAGTGCCGAGCTGCTTGAATCCCGCGCGTCCCTGCTGCTGCTGCTGCTGCCCCGCTCATGCTGTACACTCCAACCGATTTGGTTGCGTGGGGTGTGGCCGCAGGGTCTGTTCAACTTCAAGCCCAGCGTGCGCCCCGTGCCGCTCGAGTGCCACATCCAGGTGCGGCTGACGCAGTGGCGCGGGACGGAGGCGCGGAGGGGCGGCTCTGCATGGGGAAGGGCATGCACCCATGCCAGCCTCTGCGCTTGGGTTCCTGCGTGTGCCTGGCACCTTGCCAAGCGCTCCCCCTAATTCGCTGCCTGGCCAACCATCCTGCGCGTGTGCCTGCAGGGCTACCCCGGCAAGTTCTACTGCCCGCGCATGGCAACCATGAACAAGCCCGCCTACGCCGCCATTCAGTCGCACTCGCCCATCAAGCCGGTGAGGCCACGGGCACGGGGCACGGGGCCAGCCGCATGACTGGCGTGGTCGGCGGGGCACGGGGCAGCACTGCTCAGCCGTGTTTCGCACAGCAGGGAGTTACCGCTCCTCCGCCGCCTCCTCCCCGCCCCTCCCCCGCCCCCTTCCCTCCAGGTCCTCATCTTCGTCTCCTCCCGCCGCCAGACGCGGCTGACGGCGCTGGACCTGATGGCGTACGCCGCCGCAGATGACCGCCCCCGCGTCTTCCTGCGCATGACAGGTACGCGGGTGGGGCGGCGGTCTGTGGGCTGGCGATGAGTGTGTAATGGGGACCTGCCGCACTCGCTCGGCCTTGCTCGGTGCACGCCGCAGCGTGCTGCAGCCCCGACATCACACACACACACATGCACTCGCTTATATGTTACGCCCATCCCCCACCCCCCGCAGAGCAAGAGCTGGAGGTGGAGGTGGCGGTGGTGCGGGACGCCTCGCTGCGCCACACCCTGCAGTTTGGCATCGGCCTGCACCACGCGGGGCTGCCCGACAGCGACCGAGAGCTGGTGGAGCGGCTGTATGTGGGGGGCAAGATCCAGGTGGGTTGGCGGTACAGGTGGCAGTACAGGTGGCAGTACAGGTGGCGGTACAAGTGGTGCCCATGCTGCCGCAGGCGTCTCCTTCTCCCCTACGGCCCACTGCCGCCCTTCTCCTTCCAATTCACTTGGTCAACGTGCTGATCTGCCCTCGCAGGTGCTGGTGGCCACCTCCACCCTGGCCTGGGGCGTCAACACCCCCGCACACCTGGTCATTATCAAGGGAACCGAGTTCTACGATGCGCCCACCAAGTGAGCAGCCTGCAGCCTCCTGAAGCGGGCTGGGAGGTGTACGGGGCAGGGAGCCGAGAGGGAGGGCAGGAGGGCAGGCCAGGCGGCCTCCCTGCTGCAGCAGATCAGCCTCCTTTGATTGCCGTGGCGCAGGCGGGCAGGCACGCCCTGTGCCTCACCGCCTGCTCCGCCTGTACCGCTGTACCGCTGTGTACTGCCGCTGTACCGCTGTGTACCGCTGTGTACTGCAGGCGGTACGTGGACTACCCCATCACCGACGTGCTGCAGATGATGGGGCGGGCGGGACGGCCGCAGTACGACAAGCACGGCGTGGCCGTCATCATGGTGGGCGTGCACGGCTCCTGCGCTGCTGGAGCCCCTTGCTCCCCCGCAGCACTCCCAGTCTCCCGCAGCACCTCCACCTCCTTGCACGCATGGGTTACGCCTTCCGGCCCTTTCACACGAGGCCCCGCCCCGCAACCCACCTGCCCCACCAACCTCCCACCTTTCCTCCCACCTGCCCCCTCTGGCCTCACTCACACCACCCCCGCAGGTCCACGAGCCCAAGAAGAGCTTCTACAAGAAGTTCCTGTACGAGCCCTTCCCAGTGGAGTCCTCCCTGCCCGCCCACCTGGCAGACCACTTCAACGCAGAGGTGGTGGCGGGTGAGGCGCAGGCTGGGGGCTGCCTTGTGTGCTGTGTGCTGTGTGCTGTGTGCTGTGTTGTGCGTGTGTGTGTGTGTGTGTGTGTGTGTGTGTGTGTGTGTGTGTGTGTGTGTGTCATGGTGGTGATGGTGGTGGTGGAGGAGGAGATGGCCGTGTGTGTGTGTGTATGTGTGTGGCCGCGAGGTCGGGGGGGAGAGCACGAGGCATGGGCCTGCCGCCGTCGCCTCCCTGCAGGCACCATCAAGAGCCGGCAGGATGCCGTGGACTACCTCACCTGGACCTTCTTCATCAGGTAGGGGCGCCTGGCTGGCTTGCGCCGGCCGGCTGGGCTCGTTGCTTGGCTGGGCTGCCCTGCTGGTGCCAGCAGCCTGGCAGGACGTGGGGCCCTGCCCCCATGCCCGCCGCGGCCTGCCTGCTGAGACCCACGCTGCGCCCGCCCGCAGGCGCCTGCTCCAGAACCCTTCCTACTACGACCTTGAGTCGACAGACCAGGAGGCGGTGTCTGCCTACCTGTCCGCCATGGTGGAGGGTGTGCTGGCTCAGCTGCAGGACGCGGGCTGCCTGGAGGTGCGGCCGCTGGGCGACGGAGCGGGGCGCGCGGCAGCGCCGGCGCCGGGGCGCGTGTGCACGGGAGCCTTGCGTGCGCTCCGCCACAGCCTACTGCCCCTCTGGCTGCACCCCCACCCCCCACACACGCATATCGAACCCCCACCCCTCCCACTCTCTGCAGGTGGACGAGGAGACGGGCGGCGTGCAGTGCCTGACCGCGGGTCGCATCGCATCGTTCTATTACATGCGCCACCAGACCATGGCCACCTTTGCGCAGCGCCTGGGGCCAGGCATGGACGTGCAGGTGGGCGGTGGGCAGGCCCATGGGCCTCTGTGTGGACGTGGCGTGGGTGGGGGTGGCTGGCTGGTTGTGCGGCAACACTCCTGCCGTGCCGTTCAGGAGTGCACCTGCTCTGCCACAGAGTTGGGAGCGGCCCCCGTGCGATGGAGCCCTAGTCGCCCAGCCGTGGCTGCTTCCCTCCCCCTCACCTGCCGGCCTCTCCTCCCCCTGCCCCTTGTGTGGTCCCTGCTGCCCGCAGGCGCTGCTGCCGGTGCTGTGCGCGGCGGCCGAGTATGCCGAGCTGCCTGTGCGGCACAACGAGGACAAGCTGAATGTGGTGCTGGCGCAGCAAGTGCGATGGGGGGTGGACACGCGCACCGCAGGTGGGCTTGGGGGGCGGAGGGACTGCCGGGTCGGGCCGGCCTTGGGCAGCGCTTGGGAGGGGGCAGGTGCATGTTCTAGGAGGGACTCGGCCATGAGTTGGCGATGCGCTGAGAAGGCCTGCGCTCCCTGAGGCTGGCCACTATGGAGGCTTGCCACTACTTGCTGCCCATCCTTGTGCTTCTGCACACACAACAATCCACCACCCACCCCCACACACACGCACACACGCGCCTGCCCCCCCTGCCCGCCATGCAGACGACCCCCACACCAAGGCCGCGCTGCTGCTCCAGGCGCACCTGGGCCGCCTGCCGCTGCCCATCTCCGACTATGTAACCGACACCAAGGGAGTGCTGGACAACAGCCTCAGGCTGCTGCAGGTGGGCGCAGGGAGGTGGCGGGAGGGAGTTGGTGGGAGGGTCACGAAGCGGGGACGTGTTGCCATCGCGCTACGCTTCGCCCCTGTGCCGCCAGCCTCCCACCACACACCGGTACACGCGCCACACGCCACCAGCCCACGCAAGGACCAACATTGTTGAGCACCTGCCTGCTCGCCCTGCTGCCTGCAGTCGCTGGTAGACATATCGGCGGATGCTGGGTGGCTGGACACAGCCCTGGCTGCCATGGCGCTTGTGCAGGCGCTGATGCAGGGGCGGTGGCACGACGGCAGCACCCTGCTCACCCTGCCGCACTTCACGGAGGCTGGCGCAGAGGCGCTGGCGGCGGCAGGCCTTCCCCACCTGCCACAGCTGCTCGAGGCGCTGCGGGGCGGCGGCGCCGAGGGCCAGCGCGCCGCGGCGGCGGTGGAGGCGGCCGTGGGGCGGCGCGAGGCGCGGGACGTGCTGGCCGTGTGCGAGCGACTGCCGGTGGTGGGTGTCAGCTGGCGCGCGCCGCAGCTGATGCAGCGGCAGGAGGCGGGCGAGGAGGAGGGAGCCACTGATGGTGCAGGCAACCGCGGTGCCGGCACCGCCAGCTACAGCCTTGAAGTGGAGCTGCAGCGCTTGGCTGGCAAGGGAGGCAGCCGGCAGTCGCCGCCGCGAGTCTACGCGCCGCGCTTCCCCAAGGCAAGCCCGCAGGTTGCCAGGCTGGCTGGCTGGCTGACTGGCTCAGCTCCTGATGGCGTGTCCTGCTGGCTGGTTGGCGCATGCCTGCAGCCCCTCTGAAGCTGGCTGCCTCCCTGGCGGGCTGCTGCGCTCACCAGCCCCCCGTCGCTGCTGCCTGTTTGCCGCCCGCATCACCCCTCCGCCTTCACTCACCCCCGCCGCGGGCGCGCCTCCTGCTGCGCAGGTGAAGGAGGAGGGGTGGTGGCTGGTGGCTGGCGACACCGCCACCGATGACCTGCTGGCCATCAAGCGAGTCTCCTTTGGGCAGCGCACCACCACCAGGTGCGCGGCTGGGTGGGAGAGGGGTGGCGGCGGTGTGGTTGAGTGTGTGTGTGCTGCGCGCTTGCTGCACGGCTAGCACTGTGTCGGCCTGAGCTGCCTGAAAAGCGCCGGGCATGCCAGCCCGCAGCCTGCCTGCCTGCCTGGTGTATGTGCCTCACCAGGGTCCTGCCAGCCCCCTGGCCCGCAGGCTGACATTCCCGGCATATGGCGGCGGCGGCTCGCCGCTAGGTTCCATCGACCTTCTGCTGGTGTGCGACAGCTACCTAGGGCTGGACCAGCAGTACAGGATACCTCTGGGGCGGGACAGCGGGACGGGTGCCGCTGCGCTGCCGTTGGTGGGCCAGGCCGCACGGCGACAGCGGCGACAGGAGCAGGCTGAGGGGCGGAGGCAGCACGCTGCCGGCAAGCCACAGGAGCAGCCGGCCAGCAGCAGCAGCACCACCGGTGGCAGTCCAGCGGATGCTGATGCAGGCGATATGGGGCAGACGACAGTGGAAGCGCTGCCGCAGCGTGCCCCGCGGCGGCCGCGAGGTGCGGCTGCCCAGCAGTTGGAGGAAACGCAGTGGCAGGCGCCGACGCTGGACTGCCGGTTGGACGGGCAGGCGGCAGAGGCAAAGTAGGAGGGCCTTTAGGGAGTGGAGCCACTGCATCCCTGTGCCGCCGCGTGCTCACCTGATGGCAACGAGAAAGCGCATTGCATGTGCAAAAGTTGATGCAATGAGCCAGGAGAATGCGAGCTTACCCCACAGATGGCCCCCATGTCGCGCCTGCTGCCGCCTGGCGGGCGCATGGCACTGATGCACATGTGCAGCATGGCATCATCCATGCGGCACATGCTAGCCTCGCACAATCGCCATATAGATGCACGGTGTTTCTGCGCATTGTGCGCACCATGAGCGTCCGTGCCCGCGGCAGCTGTTACTCCCAGCGAATGCCTGAGCGCTGTGCGCAACTAACGAAGTGCGATCATCCAGAATGCGTCGTGGGTGGCATGACTGCCCTTTCCGGAGGTGGGCGGCGTGCAGGCGGCATGGTGGTCATGGTGCAACAACTCTGCCTGTTGGGGCACCTTGGGCTGCAAGTGCTGCCGGACGGGCGCAGGCACCTGCTTATAGTGCGGTGACGGGTTCTTCTGACCAGTCGCATCTGGACCGCCACCCCGCCGTGGGCCTAAGTGCATTTTTGCGCCGCCTGCAGCGCCGCCAATCAGCGGGCAGCGTCGCATGACAGCATGGGCCTTCGTGTTGTTGGGGCCTTCCGAATCATGCTAGTGCTTGGCAAGACCTACCTGCGAGACCGTCAGCCAGGCGCGCTGCCCGCCTGCCTGCCCGCCCGTTGCTGCCTCGGGGAGGCTCACCGCCGCTACAAGGCGCTCGCCCACCCTGCTGAGCTCTCGAGGCCCTGCACCCGCCTCTCCTCCTGCTACCCACCACGCTCCCCGCCCCCGCTGCTGGCGCTGCTGCAGGCCTGGCGCTGCTGCACGCCACCTACACCCTGCTTGCCGCCGCCGTGGTGCTGCTCATCTCGCACCGCCGCCAGCTGTACCTGCGCCACCGCGAGCTCATCGTCATCGCCTGTACCATCTCCTCCTCCTGGGGAGTGGTGGACATGGGTGGGTGCGGGCAGCAGGGTGCTTCAACGGGTGTGCCTGCAGCGGGGGGCCGCCCCCCCTTCCACCCCACCACCACCACCACACACACTATATCAATACTACGATTGCCAAACAAACGTCGGTGCTCCCCACCGCAACCCCCGTGTCGCTGCAGCGCTGGCGGCACGCAGCAACATGTTTGAGCGGCACGGCGGCAGCCCTCTGCTGCTGCTGGGCCTGCTGCTGCTGGCCAACTCGGGGCTGCAGCTGACACTTTACAATGTGTACATGCGCCCCCTGCTGCGCTTCAGCCTGGCTTCCGCGCCGGCGCTCGTGGCAATCACGCTAGCCCGCGGCGGCGCCATCTGCCGCGTGCTGCTGGCGGCGCCCGGCGCAGTAGAGACCCTGGTCCGCCTGCACCACCTGCTGGGCGTGACGCAGTGAGTGCCCCCGCCCTGGGCGCCTGCTGTGTGTGCCTGGGGCCACCACCTCTCCCCCTCCGCCACAGGCTTGGGCCTGCCTGCCCCCACCCCCCCTCTGCTGCCGCATGCTGAGCCCGCCCTCGCCGCCCCTGCCGCAGCAGCGCCGTCTTCCCGGCCTCCATGCCGCTGCTGCTCCCTCCCTCCCTGGCGGCGCGCGACCCGCAGCAAGCGTGCCTGGCGGTGAACGCCTGGTCTGTCACCTTTTTTGGGGTGGTGCTGCCGCTGTGCCTCAACTACAGCTTAGAGCTTCGAGACCGAGCCCTCTTCTATGCAGCCCGGCGCCAGCAGCGGGCGCATGTCATGGCCGCCCAGGAGGCGGAGCAGCAGCCGCGGCAGCAGCAGCAGCAGGCGCAGCAGCAGGAGGAGGAAGAGCTCAGCCCGCTGCCGGCGCTGGCGCCGCGGCGCTCAAGGGCTGCCGGCGAGGAGGGGCCGCCAGCCACGGTGCTGCGGCTGCCGTTGGGGTGGTGGCTCAACCTCTACCTCTTCAGCTGCCTGGCCTGGGCGCTGGTGTGCCTGGTGCAGGAGCTGCACGCCCTCGGGCCGCGCCGTCTAGCGCACCTTCTGTGGCGCGGCGCCGCCGCCGCGCTGCCTGGGGAGCCGGCCAACCCCACCACCTGACGCACCCCACAGCATTGCCTGCCTTCGCATTGACTGCTCGGCCGCATACAGCGCAACTGGTTGCCCCCGGTTGCCCTGCTTGTAAAAGAAACACAGAACAATTCGACGATGAAATCAGAGCGCTCAACAAGCCACGATGGGGCACCGCATCGCCGTCTGTTGCCCATCACTTCTTCTTGATATCCAGCAGCGAGGGCGGGATGCCGTACTGCTCCGTCAGGAAGGCAGCCACCTGCTTCAGCAGGTCGCCCTGCGGTGGCACGCAGTGCAGCGGGGGGGAGGGCAGGACAGATGTGGAAGGAAATAGACGGGAGGAGCAGCGGGGACCTGGTGTCGGCTTTCGAGGCCAACCAGCCCAGCCCAATCCCCGGGAACAACACACAAGCAACGCATCGAATCCAAGCAGGCCAGCTGGGCCCTTGCCTGCATCATGATCTCGTGATCCTTCTCCTCCTTGCCGGGCAGCTTGGACACGCTGCGGGGGCAACAGGGCAGGACAGCGTCCGTACGGCGTGTGGACGCAGCACAGAGCATGGGCGCACCGCAGCTGTCCGCATGGATACGGCAACAGTTGCCGCCAGCCCTCCCTGTCTCGCTCACCCACACACCATCCCCGCCACTGCCATGACCCCTCCCCCACCTGCAGCTGGTCTGGAACTTGCGGCTGAACACGCCCGCCATCTCGTCCGCAGCCAGCGCAAAGCTCTCCACGTGGCTCACCACTGCACAGGCAGCCGGGCGGGTGGAGCCACCAACCAGAGTGCAGCATGGGGGGCAGGCCACGCACCACACCGGCCCAGCCACCAACCCCATACCCCGCAGGCCAGCAGCCAAGCCAGGGCCTAGACCCACGCAGCACCGCTGCCCTTCCCCTGATGCGATGCGCACCCGTGATGTTGCGGCCGAAGCGCCGCTCGGTGCCAATGGCCACAGGCTTCACCTGCCCCTTCCGCACCACCTCCACGACTCCCTGAGGGGGTGCATACAGTCGCCCCAGGCCAGGATCAGGCATGCTACTGCAAGCAGCGGGCACAGGCGGCAGCCACCCCCAGGCAGCAACCGGCAGCCAGGCACTGACGCAGCCTAGCCCACCACCACCGCCTCTGCCACCAGCCCAGCACAGCATGCCGCACCTGCTCGCTGGGGCGCTTCAAGCGGTGGTGCAGCTGCAGCTTGGCCAGCAGCCGCTTCTGCAGCTCCGCCGGGGCCACCGCGCTGCCTTCCTGCTCCGCCTCCTTCTTATTGAACAACGAGCCGTGCAGCAGACGGTCTAGCCGGATGGATCGGCCGTCAGGCGCCGCCAGGCCTGCACATCACAACACACGGCAGGCCACGGCTGGCCTGGTGAGCGCCTGTTCTGCCTACCCCACCTCTCCCGGGCAGGTGCAGAAGGCGCCGACGGCCCCAACCCAGGAAACCTCTCTCCTCCGCATTTGCACGCCCTGGCACGCGCAACAGCAGCCAGCATCGCCGCAGCCAGCCAGCGCCGCCGCACCTTGCGCCGCCGCATAGCCTGCCAGCGCCTCGCACACTTCGCCCTCGCTGTACAACCGCTCCTTGTCCCGCAGGGCCGCCTCCCCAAACACAGGCCGCAGCGAGCTCGGCGCCCGGAAGCAGTACTCAATCTGCACCTTGCTGCCGCCGCCGCCGCCGCCGCCGCCTCGGCCGCTGCTGCTGGCGGCGCCGTTGCCGGCGCCAGCCGCCGAGCTGGCGCCGGGCATGCCGGAAAAGCCGGTGTAGGCTGGGTGGGAGCGGTTGACGGCTGTGATGCAGTCCTGCTTGCGCACCACCTTTTGGGTGATCACCTGCGGCACGGGGCAGCACTATAACCGTCGCACACACACACACACACACACACGACATCTGCGAGCGCATGAAAAAGCCCCCCCCCCCCC